ACACTGCCAACACACTCCGAAGAGGGACCTGGCACCTCCACTCTCCACTGTGCATCCTGGGGCAAGTTGCATACTTGCTCTGAGCCTCTGTTTTATCCAATAGAACTTTGTTGGAAGCCGCTCTAGACTTCCCTACCTTCATTTCTCCCTTCCTTGACCCTGTCCCAGGACTGAGGTTCCTGCAAAAATGCCTCCAATTTCCCAGTGTCCAAGACCCAGGGAGGAAGCTGGGGGCACTTCAGTGGGTGGAGCGCTGCCTCTGGGTTGCCCATGTGTCTCCTTCAGTCCCTCTCTGAGCCTCAGTTTTCCCCATCTGTAACATAGGGAAGAGATACACTGCCTCCCTAATGAGTTGCTGGGTGCACAGGTTCCTAATGACTGGCTTGACTCTGGAGTTCAAGTGCAGGGCAGAGGGGCAGGACTTGATTTGTGGGCAGTGGGAGGCACAGAAGGTGCTGGAAGTAGGGCAGTATACTGGCTTGGGTTGAGCTTTGCGGAGGATGGACAGGGAGAGGACTGGGCACAACCAGGGTTCAAACCTAGGCCTTGATCTTTTATCCAGGACTTATGCCTCCAAGTAACTCGCATTGCGGTAAAATCCTCATTTCAGAAAACTGAGCCCTAGCTGGTGTGGCTCCGTGAATTGAGTGCCGGCCTATGAATCAAAGGGTCGCTGGTTCCATTCCCAGTCAGGAAACATGCCTGGGTTGCAGGCCAGGTCCCCAGTAGGGGGTGAGTGAGAAGCAACCACACACTGATAGTTCTCTCCCTCTCTTCCTCCCTTCCTTCCCCTCTCTCTAAAAATAAATAAATACAATCTTGAAAAATTTTTAAAGAAGAAAAAAACCCCTAAGACTCCAAGTGGTTGCTAGCTTTCCAAGCAGTCCAGGCTGTCTGAATAACCCTCTGCCTGTGCCCCATCTCCCTTCCCCCAGCACCCACTGATGGCGGCCCTCTGTCCAGGCTGGAGTCCTTACCCAGGGCCCCAGCAGCCCCCAACCGGTGCTCACCAGCTGCTGCAGCTTCTCCCTTACCAGTGTTGTTTGGGTTTTAATTTCTGTGTTGCAGTTAGAAAATTACCCATAATTACAACTCTGAGAGGAAATGTCTCCTGGCACAGACCCTGCTCCCAGCTGTGCACCCCTCCAGCGTAAGGCTGGGGGGCTGCTGCAGGGGCCGTCAGCCAGGATGCTGGCCCCTTCCAAAGCTCCCCACTTTAATGAGAAGGGGCTGCTTTCATCTCCTGTGGAGACGAAAAACCATTATCAGGAAAACCCAAATCAGCCTTCCCAACTCTTGCAACATACTCACCACTCCACATCTGGGTCTGCAAGGGAGGGCCCATGCAGAAGGAGGCAGAGCTGCCAACAGAGTGCTTGGTGCTGTATTTTATTGTAACAGTGGCAAGTCCAATCTAGGCTAGTGTGGAACCGTAATATGGGAGATGTGGCCAGGGAAGGCAAGGAGGAGGGGGACAGAGACAGAGAAGGAGGAACTGCTGGGGCCAAAGACCAAAGGAGTAGCCAGAATAGGCCAGGACTAAAGCCAGAGAAAGGTGGCATGAGCAGCCAGTGCAAAGGCCTGGAGGTGGGCCCTCCAAGGGTCTGAGAAGGGAATGGCTGGAAGGGAGTGAGGGGAGGGACGGCCCCTCCTCCAGGCAGCCCCTCAGCCCCATACTCAGAACCTGCTTTGCTACCCACCCCCAGGCACAGCCCTGGACCCAGCAGGGTGGAGTTTGGGGGTTGTGGTGGTCCCAAGAGATGGAAACCCAGCTCAGGGAGACAGTCCCCACCAGCAACACAGGGGAGAAGTCGCAGGAGCCGGTGAAGGCGTCACAGGTCTGGGATTCAGACTGGATCCTTCACCTTCTGGCTTATGATTCCTCTTCTAGGCCCCTGACCCGGTCCATGGCCCCTGTCCACCTGGGCCTCTTTCCAGGCAACATCCCTGCTTCCTCCAAGTCTTCCCAAGATACTGGGTAGCCCCCACGGAGCTTCTTAAAACCTGGATGCTGATTCTACTCCTAGGGCTTCCACAGCTTCCCATGGCACCCCAGAGTTTTTAGAACAAATCCCCACGGGTCCTCTGCCTTCCTAGCAAACATCTCCCTCCTCTTGCCCCTGCTCCAGCTACACTTCCCTCCTTGCTCTACCTCCAACATCTGAACACTGGGCCCACCTCAGGGCCCTTGCACTTGCTATGACTGCAGCCTGAACATTCTTTCATGATCTTTCGGATCCAGCCCTTCCCAAAGTGGTGGGAAAAAAAAAAAAAAAAAAGAGGTACGAGCTTCTTGCCTTGGCGGGGGGACTCGGTTGGTTGGAGAGTGGTCTAATAAACCAAAAGTCAGGGCACGTACCTAGGTTGCAGTTTCCATCCCCTGTCCCGGCGGGAACTGAGGGCAGTGATCGATGTCTGTCTGTCTGTCTGTCTCTCCCCACCCTGCTTTCCTCTAAAATAAAATGAACATATCCTCGAGAGAGGATAAAATAAATATTTCTTTCTTCTCACGCCCCACCCTCGCATGGTGGGTTGGGGGCTTTTCTGTGGGTTCTGCTCTTGCCACGCGTGCGCCATGGTTGGATGTGCGTGGGGCCCAAAGCCCGCTGTTCTAGGAGTTTTTCGCCGGCGCCCGAGGCTGTGTTTGGAGATCTGTCCCCGTTGCCATGAGAACCGCGCTCTTCGCTCCCACCCCCTTCCCCTTTGCAGCGCCAGGGGCAGCGGGAGGCTCCGCCTCTCTCCCTCCTCCGCCCTCCTCCCGGAGCCCCGCCAACCCTGCTGTCGCCCTGTCCCCTCCACCGGAGACCCCCTCCCTCTGCCCAGCTTGTGGCACTCCGTGAAATTACCCTACCGACTCGCCAGCTTTTCACCATCCTTCTTCCCCATCAGACCCTCTTCTTCCCAAGCGGTAACAACGTGTACTGGTCTAGTACTCAAAGCCGGGCACACAGCAGGCGCTCAATAAATGTTTGTGAGGAGGAAGACTCACATCAACTCAAGAAACAGGCTCAGAAAGGGCGAGGGACCTGCCCACGGCACACAGAATCCTGGGGAGCCACGGAGCATTGGGAGATACATGTGGGGAAGGGGCGCCTGGAGGGTGGCGGGAGGAGCGTCTGCGGTCCCGGACGTCCCAGCTGCCATGCTGTGTGACTCCGGTGAGCAACACCCTCTCTGTGCCTTGTTCAGAGTAGGCCCTGGAGATTGGTGGTGGGAGCGGGCATTAAAATGAGGGCATCCTTGACACCCACAATCTCCAGTGGCCCCCCGGGCGCTGGAGAGTCCGGGTCTCCAAGCACGACGGAAGAATGTTGGCCGCGCCCCCATTAGCCCGTCGCGCGGGCCCCTCCTACGCGCCCGCGGGGCCCCGAGGCCCGCGGAAGAGGAAGCTGGGGGAGGGGATGGCCAGCTGGACAGGAAGTGGGTAGGGCTGGCGTCCCCCCACCCCCTGGCCGGGCCCCTCGGGATGGAGGCGCGGCTGAGGCTGTCTGGGCCCTTCTCTTCCTCTTCGCCTGTCTGGAACCCCAGCGGCTCCCCACTTCCCGCCCGTTTGCAGGCCTGAGTGGTGGTGGGGGGGATCCCATACTTGGTGGCCCCAAAGAAGGAGGCATAATGGGGATGGAGGTCTGCAGGCAGCAGGAGGGGGCATCCGCATCAAGGCAAACACAAAACACAGGAAACCTGAGTGCACAACCACACAATACAGTCCCAACCCACCCACACGCGGAGGCACACAGACACACAAGTGCACACAACTTGACGCTGCGTCACTCGGCTCCGCACAACTGCCGCGGACACTGCCACAGAGCCAGGGACCGTTCACTAGGCGCCTGCCAACCCCCCCAGGCGAAACGGCTGACACGTTCATGTAGGAAAAGGAACACAAACTCGCAGTTGTTACATGGGAAAAAAAGAATACCCATGGCAAAGAGTCATAGAAACATCCAGACCTGGAGTCAACACAACTGGACCACCTTCCCCTGTCCACCCCCCTTCCCCCAGTCCGCACACGTCTGCTAACATGACCCACAGGTAGCCTAGCACACAGGTCTCCACGAGGCCCAGGCACCCCTGCCCTGCTGTGTCGTGTCCTTGTCTGTCTGCCTCTGCCTCTGCTGCACGCCCCCTGGGAACAGAAGGGCCCCAGTAGGGGGAACGCGGCACCACAGTATGCACCCTTGATTCCTGCAGAAGGGCAGTTAAAAGTGGGTCGAGCTCCATTTACAGTTAGTGGCACTGAGGCTGAGAGGCATAGTCAGCCGGAGCGATCCAGTCAGTCACCCAAGCACCTATTGTTGACACAGGATGTGAATGTGAAGCAGTGCATGGTGGCTCCCAGGGTTTGGCCTGGGCACTCTAGGGGCTTCTTGTCTATGTGGTGTGTCTTTGTGTTGTGGGATGTGTGTGGCTCTGGGTGTCCATAGGCTCGGGGAGACCCCAGGTCCATGTTCAGAGCCCTGCGGTGGCTGCGATGGAGTGCCCCAGGGTGACTGGGAGTGGCTGCCATGGGCTTTTCCCCAGCTGTTGGAAGCTGTGCCAGTGTGAATCTCCATGCGGCTGTGTGCCTATGCTAGCGGTGGTGGGCTGTCTTCCTCTTCTGTGACAGCCACTATTGGGGCTGTGTATACACCTCTGTATGTGTATCAGCGTGTTCCTAGGTGAGCTGGGTGTGGGGAGCTCTGTAGCTGAAATGAAAGCTACATTCAGTGTGACTGTCAGTAGCTTTCCAGACTATCAGTAGTTATTCCAGGATCTGTGTGGACCTGTATGTGTCCTGGGTCTGAGATTTTATCTGTAGCTGAATGTGTGGCTGTGTTCGGGTGTGCAACTTGGGTGGCTGGTCCTATCTGAGGAATGTGTGTTCAGCCTTGATCAGCCATGTCCTGCTGTGCGTCCCCGGGTGGCCGTCCCCACTCATGCCTCGGTGTATGTGGCCACTCCCCCCCCCCCCACACACACACAGGCGGGCCCTGCGCGTGCGTGCCCGGCCCACGGTTCCAGCCGCGGGACCCACCCGCGCGCCCGCCATCGCCCCTTTAAGAACGGCGCGCGCGGCGGGAGGAGGGGGCGCGCGCTTCCCGGAACAGCCCGCGCAGTGGGAAGAGAGGAAGAAAATAAACCCGCGGCTGAAGCTGGAGCTGCCGCCGCCGGCGCCGCCGTTGGAGCTCCCCCGCGCGGATGATGCCTGCGGCGCCCGCGCGGGGCTCGGGGCGGTGAGGCCCGGGGTGCGGGGTAGCTATGGCGACGACGAGCGCGACTAGCCGCGCCGCCTGACAGGTGTGGGGACCCAGCGGCGGCGGCGGCTCGGAGCATTATGTACGCCAAAGCCGGCAAGGGCTCGGCCGTGCCCTCCGACAGTCAGGCCCGTGAGAAGTGAGTCGGGGGCCGGGGGCGGAGCTCGGCGGCCGCGCGGCTTCCGTGGGCCCCAGCGCCGGCGCGCACCGCGAGGGGCACGTGGGCGCGATGTGTCAGGCGTGCGGGGCCCAAGCGCTCTTGAGGGGCTGCGAGACTTGCGTGGGAACGCGAGACTTGAGGGGGCGCGGGTGACCCGAGGGGCGTCAGGGGCTTCAGGGGTCGCGAGATTTGAGGGGGCACGTGAAACCCGAGAGGTCTTGAGAGTTGAAGGGGCGTGAGATTTCCGGGGGCGCACGACACTCGAGGGACATGAGAGATCCTAGTGGCTTGGAGAATCGGGGAATTTGCGGGGAAGCGCGAGGCTCGAGGCCGCGAGATTTGAGGGGGCATGCGAGACCGAAGTGGGACTTGAGAGTCGCGAGACTTGCCCGACGGTCGAGCCTTCAGTGAGTGAGGTTGCAGACCTGCGTGCGCGGGGTCGCGATCCTGGTTGTTTCCCTCATTCTCCAGAGAAGTTTCCAGGGCAAGTGAGACTGGCCTTTCTGGAGAGAGGCCGCCTGTTCTCTAGGAAGCTCGGTGGGACCCCTGGGGAGGCCACAGGGCTCATTCCTGCGTTGGGGTCCCTAGGTGATGGAGTCCAGAAGTGCCGCCTCCTCTTTTGGGCGTGGCGCTAGGCCATGGGTACTAGGTGCTCTTGGATTGTTGGTAGGAGGGACAGTACCTAATTCCCAGATCCTGCAGTTTGGGGCTGTGGCCTGCAGAACTGGAAGCTCGGTCTGGGGCAGGGAGGCACAGCCTGAAGGTGGCACTGCCACTTACCTGCTCTGCGACATTGAGTGCCCCTCTCTTAAGGTTCATTTTCCTTTCTTGAGAAATGCAAACGTGGTATCAGTGCCATCTTTCTCTCTTTTAAAAGGTTTTATTTATTTATTTTTAGAGAGAGGAGAAGGGAGGGAGAAAGAGGCAGAGAAACATTGATGTGAGAGAGAAATATGGATGTTGCCTCCTGTACACGCCCCTGCCAGGACTGAACCCACAACCCAGGCATGTGCCCTGACCAGGAACCAAATGGATGACCTTTTGCTTTGTGAGAGGACATCCAGCCAATTGAGCCACCCCAGTCAGAGCTCAGTACCATCTCTTAGGAAGGGGGAGGACTTGCAAAGTTCTGGGAGCTGTGACCTTCCCACAGCAAGGGTACCCAGTGGCCTGCAGTTTTGTTCAAGTGCCAGGGAAAGGTGCCTGCAGGAGGGAAGGCTTTCCATGGCTGATAGCCAGTGGCCGATTCGCCAGATCCTAAGAATTCCAGCAGCTTCCAGTGGCCTGATGGGAAACAGGCTGCCAGAACAGAGAGGAGGCTGGGTCACTCTTGAGAGGTCCCATGATGACACGCCTTGAGGGCCAGGCCAGGAGTGAGGACTTGTATGACAGGGCAGAAAGAGGAGCCCTGGATGTGGGCTTGCTTGCAGCCTTCTCTTGTCCTGCCTCGTCTGCTTGGGCTAACATTGGGACCCCTCCCTTCCACAAGGACAAGTGTCCATTCTCTACCCAGCTTCGGGATCATTTTGGAGAAGAGATTCTTCTGGCCAGAAGATGTTAGGCAGATAACTGCCCTTTCAGGCCTTCCTTGTCCACCTGCACAGTTATGAGGTTGGGCTCCATTTTCAAGCACCCTTGCACAAAGACTTTTTGAAACTGGCATCTGGCTTCTGCCCAGGTTGGAAGCAGGGCATGTCTGGCTTTGCCACCCCACCCCTGGGGGTCTTGGCATGTCCTCGGTCATTCTCTTACACTGGTTTCTGGGCCTGGGGTGGAGTGTGGTTGTTGGGAAGGCAGGTCCCAGAGCTGAAGAATCCCACATTCTAGCAGAGAGGCAGGTGTCTAGTTACTTGGGCAAATAAATGGGAGGCCAAGCAGAGGGATGATCTCTAGATATTCTATGAAGAAAGCAAAGTGGGAAAGTGGTTGGTAGTGAAGTATGTGAGGGCTTTCAGGTATGCAAAGACCTGGAGGAAGAGTAGGCAGCCTGGGGCACAGCAAGTGCAAAGGCCCTGGAGTCAGGTCTGGCAAAGGAGCTAGGGCTGGTGCCCTGGGCGGGGGCAGAGCCACCCCTGAGGGCTCTGTGAGGGCAAGAGAAGCTTGTGTGTCTGAGAGTGCACTCCCGCTCCCATGTGGAGCTGGGAATCTGGGAGAGGTGGGTACATGGATCTGGGTAAGAGTTGATGATGACAGCTTAGGTGTGGCCGTGGAGATAAAATAAGGGAGAGAGTCAGAGATTTGAGCTGAGGGTAGTGGGTTTGGGAGTTGGGTTCTGATTCCATCAGATATCCCAGGAGAGATACGATTCTTTGAACCTGGCCTTGGCTTTTGGTGAGGGCTGGAAAGGGGGTAATCCGAATCCTGGCCCCTTCTCTCATGATCCCCCCTCTCCCTAGCCTGCCCAGCAGAGAGTCTCAGAGGGTGGGGGGATATGCAGAAACACCTGCTGTAGGGGCTAGAGATGCCCTGTGTGGCCTGTTCTCTAGTACCCTTTCTTCCCGAGCCATCCTGTGCTCATCCATGTCTCGTAAAGGGTCCCGGATGAGCGTGTTTGGAGATGGGGTTCTGCTACTAAAGAAAGCTTGGAAAACACCAGAGGGGGGTCAGGGCTTGGAGGAGAAGTGACCTGCCAGGCTCACAGGTTCTGGGCATGGAGAGCTCTAGAGGAGTACACTGGCTGCTCTGTTTCCCCACCCGAAGTGTGGCCTGCGGGCCTTGCAGGGTGCTCACAAGGACTGGGTGAAAGGCTGCAGGCACAGCACCCCTCGCTGGCAGCCAGCCACACACGGAGCCACTTCCTGTCTCTGGGCTTCGGTTGCCTCCTCTGTGAAATGGGGTGAAGGAGCTGCACGGCTCAGGTCCTTGCCTCTCCTGGACTGTGTTTTGCTTTCCTTCCTCCTGAGCCTCTCTGACTCCCTGTCTCAGGCCGGGGTCTGGGCCAGGTTGCTGCAGAAACAGAGTGCCTATCTATCGCTTCTCCGCCTTCTGGCTAAGATCAAGTATAGAAACAGAGCTCCTGTGGGGTACGCTGGCTTCCGGTCTCTGCCCTTGGGGGTGCACAGCAACGTCTACACAGGGTGTCCCACCTGCGGCCCCCGAAGGGTGGCTATGAATGCCCAACACAAAATTGTAAATGTACTTAAAATATTGAGATTTTTTGTGATTACACGTCACAATGTATTTCATGTGTGGCCCGAGACAACTCTTTTTCTTCCAGTGTGGGCCAGAGATGCCAAAAACTTAGACAGCCCTGGTAGGGAGTACAGTGATGGGGTGGCCTGGAGGGCCAGAGGGAGGCTGGGGCCCTCGGGCGCTGCCTGCATGGAGGCACAGCCTCTTCCTTGAACTGGGAACACTCCAGTCCACAGGGAAGCCCATGAGTGACTGCCACCCAGAACTAACTAGCACTTGCGTTTGCTAGTTGGTTTCCGGTCTTTTAAATTTAGGGATGAAGGTGACAGGGACAGTTGGAGGCCCCTTTATTCCCTTTGCATCACTCCACTTCTGCCTCAGAGGCTCTGCCTTTGTGAATGGAGGGGAAGAGCTCTAAACATCTGCTTTGTTGTGTTTCTCCTCGGGCACTTCATGTGCTGTGAAGTGGGTTTCGAATAGGTCTGTAAATGGCAACCCCAGTTGGTGTTACTAAGCACCTCAAGTTTCTCTCCTGGGATTGGTTTTGAGATGGCACATAGCCACGGAGAAAGTTCGTTGATTAGCCCAGCAGTTGAGAGAGTCACCTGTGTGTCTGTCCCCGCTTCCAGGTGTGGCCATGGGCATCCTTGTTGGTGAGGGCACTGGTAAGAGATTCTTGAGGAAGGAACCCCCGAGCTGAGTCCTAGAGGCTGAGCAGAGCTGGTGGACAGGGGAAGCCTCCGGGAAAGGGCTCGAGAAGAGGCCTGGGGAGAAAATGGGAGGAGGGGAAGGCAGGGATGACATTTGTGTGTCGGGGGTTGTCACTGGCCACTGAGCGGGAAAAAATCTGTAATCAGCAGAGGCTCCCAGGAGGCTGGTGAGGAGGGGGCCAAACCTTGGCAAGAGATGGCTGAAGGCCTGGCCTTGAGGGTGGCTGAGAGAAGGGAGGAAATGTGTGGGCTGGAGACTCCCTTTGTGGGGCATCAGTGGGAACTGGCTGGTGGATTGTGCATGGTGAGGGAGTGATACAAGGCTGCCTCCCTGCACCCCCCCCCCCCCGGCCCCGTCCCTGACCCAGCTTGTGCCTCCAGGGTCTTTAAGGGAGAGGAGAGCACTGGGCCAGGAGCACCCGTTACCATAATTCCTGATAATTATGGTAATTCTTGATAATTATGGTGGTAGTGCTGCATTTTAGTTCACAAGGCTCTAACAAACCATGGTCACCACGTTCCTGCACAGCCCATGTGCCCTTCTCCCCGTGAGCACCCCAGGGCCAGGCACCCCATATCCTTCACGTCACTGTTCCTTCTGGGAGGAGGGTCTCCCTGGAGCCACCCATGCTCCCTGCCACCCATCTGCCTTTTTGCAGCCAGAGCCCCTCCAATGGGCAGGCTCTCCGTTCTGCAGGTCGTTTGTTTTACCAGGAGCGGGCTCCAGAGCCCTGCCCTCCTCCGTGGCCCAGCTCAGGGCCCGGGTGGTCAGCGGCTGCAAGTCCTCCCTGGAGACCCCAAAACCACCCGCCATATGTCCTGGCTTCAAAACTTTGCACCCAAAACAAGAGAAACAGCCCAGAATTCCTCCTCAAGACTCCATCCTGGCAAAAATTAAAGTACCAACATGTAACAGAAGTCATCAAAATTAAGAATCTTCTCTGGCTTCTCTTCACTCTTGGGATGAAACCGCAGATCCTTGACATCAAACCAGCAAGTGCTGACCTTTCCCAGGGCTCGCTGATGACCACCCGGGTTGGTTCTCCTAACGCTCAAGAGAGGTAGTCCAGGTGACCAGGGGCCTGGGGTGCCCCTGTGAACTCCACAGGAAGGGGAACAAGACCAAGTCCCTGCCCTCCCAGCTACGTTTCGAGGGGCTGCAGGCAGTGAACAGAGACTTGTGCCAAGTGGGAATAAATAAGATGACGAGGAGAAATTGGGCAGGGCAGGGGTTAAGTGTAACAGGGAAGCCTCTGACAGGTGACATTGGAGCCCTGCAGGTCTCTACATGGAAGTGCCCTTGGTGGGGGAACAGCCTGTGCGGAGGCCCTGGCATGCAGTGTGGCCGGTGGTGGGGGGCCACTGGAGGGTGTAGCAAGGAGTGCTGTGGGGATGTGTGTAGACTCCGGGGCTGAGAGAGCAGCCACTGGAGAGGCCTTGTCAAAATTCAGGTAAGAGAGATGGTGGCTGGACCAGCTGTGTGGTGGAGACAGCAGGAGAGATCTTTTTCTTTAAGGTTTTACCTTAAATTCAATATGTATGGTGATCTCAGTCTCGGGGGACAGCGTGTCCCGCCCCTCTGTGAGTCAGTGCCTGGTCACCCAGTTTGGACCACATGGTGGGGGCAGGAGGGGGGTGGGTAGGGGTGGAGGGCAGCTGTGGAGGGGCAGATTGAGGTTGGGCCTTTGGACGCCAGGTGGGTAGTGGACCCCAAGTTTGGGAAGGCCGTGCTGGAGCGCCCTGTGGGCAGTTGTGTGAAGATGCCCTCAGAGCAGGAGGCAGACTGCCTGGAGAAAGGAGAGGAGAGGCCTGGGCTGAGGGGGAAGAGGAGGCAGGGATGGGCTGCTGGACCTGTGGCCTGGGTCGGATGCCACCCCTGGAAGGTCCAGGGCCAGGGGAGACAGAGAAGGACCTGGTGGGCTGGCAGCATGGAGCCCTTGGTGGATGTGGGGAACCAAGGGCCACTTCTTTAGGAGGTTTACGGACCCCTAGGAGAGCCCCCTGCCATGAGGAGTGGGGTGTGTGGCCAGAGTGCAGCCCGTGCCCTTCTGCTCTCCTGAACTGCCAACTCCATCTTGCTACCTGTCTCCAGGTGTCTCACACCCCCAGTCCTTCCTGTTCTCTGCACAGACCCTCAAAGTGGGCAGGGGGCTGGCCGGACCCCTGAGGTTCTCTCTTTGCCTGGAAGGTGGGGTGGTGAGCAGTTCTGGGCTTTTCATGTCCATTCCTTCAGCAATGGATATGGATCTGGGGATGCAGGCCACTTGCGAAGGCTCGGGAAGCCTCTGGGGGAGGTATCTCAAGAGTGAGTTAGACAGGTGAGCCTGGAGGCCAGGGGGCCAGGAAGGCCACTGGGCTGGAGAGGGTCAGACACTGGAGGACTGCTGGGGGTACCACATCAGAATCTGGGGGGGGAGCCTGAGCTGGAGGTGCAGCCAACAGGGGTGTGATGATGTGGTGAGGACTGAGGCCAATCTTGGGGGACTCACATGCTTGGAGTCGTGTGATCATCATGAGTCCTACACATCTGTGCCTCATCCCTGTCCCTTGAGTGGCCACCTCATGTCACATGATGCAGTGTGTGCTGTAGAAACACCTCATCCTGGGATGGCTGTCACCTGGGACCCTCAACATCCCCTCCCCCTTATCCTCCATAGCACACACTGCCTTCCAGCTCACTATGGAACTTACCTTCTTGTATCATCGTTCCACTGTTCCTCCTCACGAGCAGGTAGCCTTTAGGGGGACGGGGATCTGTCGTGTTCCTGCTCAAGGAAGCACTGGGCTAATGCCGGTTGAGTGAATGAGTGAAAGAATGGGCAGATGGATGAAGGAAGGATGAGGGCCCAGGGTAAGAGCAGACTTGGGGAGGGGCAGAGGGTGAGGGCCAGGACAGAGGGCAGGAGCTGGCAGGAGCATCTGATGCCAGGGGAGCTGGGCTGTTAGGATTGAGGACCCTGGCTGGCCTGAGAGAGATCAGGAGGATGAGACAAAGCAGGCTCCATTTTGGGTGGGGCTGTCAGCCAGGGGAGAACGGCTAGCTAAGTCCGAGACACAGCCCCAGTCCTGCCCTTGGGGAGACCCCAGCCTTGATCCAGAACCCCCCAAGCCCACCTGGGTCCTGGCTGGGCAGTAGGAGGATCCTGGGGTCCCAGAGGGGCCAGTGTCAGTGGGGCGGGGGCGGGGCTAGGGACTGGCAAGAGGGCTGGATCTCGTCTCTCTGCCAGCTGGTGTGGAAGACAGATGGGAGAGGGGAGGCAGAGGATGGAGTGGCCTGGGTGGCTGTGGGGACGGGTGGACCTCCCTGTGTGTCCCACAGAGGGCGCTGCTGGTTGACAAGTGGCCCATGTGTTTGGGGGTGGGCAGCTGCTGAATTTGTGTGGGGGGCGTACCAGACATTGTGGGCGTTTGGCAGCCAAGCAGAACTGCTGGCCCCATCTCCCCTCCCTCACCCACACTGCCCCAGACTCGCCCTGGGGGCTGGCACAGAGATTTGGCAGGCCCTGATCCCCAGGAAGAGGATGGGCCCCAGGGACACCTGGAGGAGGAAGGCCTCAGGGAGGAGAGGAGGGTGCTTTCCTTCCTCAGCAGGCAGGACTGGGGGAGAGTAAGGTGCCAGCACTGGGCCCAGGGCCCAGGATGCCCTCTAGGAGAGCTCATGCAGTGCACAAGCAGGTGTGATGCCTCGGAGCCCTTCTCCAGGCAGAAGACCTCCCCAGGGCCAAGGCTGCTCTGGGGTCTTGGCATCAGCAGGACAGGGCTAGGACTGAGTCTGAGAGGGGCCTGGAAACGGGGAGTTGGGGACTGCTGGCAGTGTTGCGTGCTGGAGGGGCCGAAGGCAGGGCGTGTTGGTGGGTGTGCAGGAGTTGGCCCGGCTGAGCAACTAGGGAGGAGGCCATCTCCTGGGAGGAGTGGGGGAGATGGGGTGTTTGGGGACCATCGGTGGACAGTGAGTGAGGCTGGGGGTGGGAGCTATCAGGACTCACTGTGGGCCCCCTGCCCCTCATCTCCACCGGCCCAACTGAAGGCAGGTGCCTGGCCTGAGACACCCCCTCCAGGGATCCTTGAGGAGGGGCTGGAGGCTGACTCCACCCCAGGCCTCCTGAGAGCCTGAGCCCCTCCCGCCCCCCACAGGCTGGCGCTGTACGTGTACGAGTACCTGCTGCACATCGGGGCCCAGAAGTCGGCCCAGACCTTTCTGTCCGAGGTAAGCTGGCCCAGCCCCTCCACTCCCGCCCCAGGTCCTCTCCTCCCAGTTTCTGTCGGGGCTGCAGTAGTGGTGCCAGATGGCCCCTCTGAAGGCCCTTGGAACGGAGGGCTGGGGTGAGTCGGGCCCTCAGCTGGCGTACAGGCGTCTTTCTGTCTGGGGATCTGACGTTTGCTACTCTGCCCTCGTGCTTACCCAGCTGTTCTCCCCCCCACCCGGCTGCCTTGCTTTGATCTGCTGGTTCCCTCCCCCATGTTCCCTGCCTGAGGTGGGTCGTGGGGTGGGGGGCGTCCAGCAGACTGGGCAGTGGCTCCTCACCTGCCTTCCTTCTCCTGTGCAGATCCGATGGGAGAAGAACATCACGCTGGGGGAACCCCCAGGGTTCCTGCATTCCTGGTGGTGGTGCGTGCGGGGCTGGTGTGGGCAGGCTGCAGAGGGGCTGGGTGAGGGGTATGTGGGGAAACCATCATTTCCCCCTGCCACCCACAGCGTTTTCTGGGACTTGTACTGTGCAGCACCTGACCGCAGAGAGGCATGTGAGCACTCCAGCGAGGCCAAGGCCTTCCAGGACTACGTGAGTCCTGCCCTAGGGACCCGGTGTGGGCAAGGTGGAGGGGCCTGGGGTGGGGGAGCTGTGTGGCCTATGCTTGTCTCAGGCGGGCTGGGTGCTGGCATCCCAGTGCCCTCCACTGGGCCCAGGGTCACTCACAGGGAGGCTCATCCCACTGCACCGCAGCCCCCAGCTTTTTCTGCAGCCAGCCCCCCCCCCCTTCACTTGAGCCCCATTCTGGGGTAGACATACTGCAGCTCTTGCTTCTACCGCCGCCCATCCCCTGCCACCCCAGCCTCTCTGAGCCTCCCTAGGTAGGAGCCCTGCTGAGTTTTGGGGTTGAGCTGACAGCACCTGGGATGCTTCCTGACCTTACTGTGTGACTGGGGTTGCTTACTGCCACTTTGGCCTCAGTTTCCCTCTTGGTTGATGGAGTGTATGGCATCAGAGGCCTGTTTGGAGATGAGTCTGGGGGGTGACTTGAGGGGATGGGTGGCATTTTTGTCATGGGGGTGCAGAAGGCAGTCCCCTGCCCTTACCTTCTTCGCCCTGGCCTGTGGAGAGGTCCACGGCAGGCCAGAGAGGGCTCAGGGGCCCTAGGCTGTGGGTCCCAGGGGCAGGCAGTGCCCCAGCCAGCTTCTTGGGGAGGTACAGCTCCAGACGATTTCTCCATTTCCACCCCTTTCTCCCTTTGCACCCACTTCCTCCAGCTGGTGCACTCGCTCACTCACCTCTTTGCCTCAGGCCTCCCAAGGCACAGCCGCCTCCACCTCTCTTCGCAATGGCACCTGGGTGCAGGCCTCTTCAGGGCTGAGGTGCAGCCATGAGGGGCAGGGGTTTACCACATCCCTGTAGTCGCCCCACGCATGCTGTGCACGCGTGCATGGAGACTGGGGGCCCTGCTGGTAACCCCCATCAGACCCTTCTATGCATCTGTTTCCCTGTGTCCAGGTCCCACTGGACTTTGGACCCAGGGGTGTCTGAAGCTGTGTCCCTCCTTGTGCCTCTCCAGTGTCCCTAGGGCTGTTACCCTCACAGCCTGTCAGCACCAGGGCCCCACCTGGGTCTAAGCTTCTGGAGGGGGCTCCACATCTGTGTGAACAGTGCTTCCTGGTGTGCACCAGTTACCATGGCAGCAGGGCACCTGGGGCAGCAGGCACAGCAGTGGGGGTGGGGGGGTGCACAGGGTGTCGGGACCCTGCAGCCTCTGCTGTGGCTGGGGCCACCTTGCCCACCCTCCCAGGGGGCTCCACCTCCCTCCTCCAGGCATCTCCAAGAAACACCAGCACGCCTTAGGCCTTAGTCTGTTGTCATGGCAGTGTGGGCTGGTTGCCTTTAGGAGGATGATGGGGGGGGGGGGGTCCAGCCCAAGCCTCCTGAAAGGGAGGGTGGGCCGGTTGTGCGTTAACCCTTAAGGGCCTAGAGTCTGGGAGCCGCAGGGGTAAGGGGTGCCCAATCTGCCCCCACCTCACCCCCATACCTTGTGGTCCCGAGGTCTGCTCACAGCCTTCCCCACCACCACCCTCCCCTCCCAGCCCAGGAACCACTCGGGCGCCTGCTATGGCTGTGAAGGGGGCTGCCCCCTCCCTGTGCAGTAGGCAGTGGGGGTGTGGACAGACCCAAGGCTGGGAGGCACCCCCCAACCCCTGAGGCAGGCCTGCCAGAGGAGCTGTGACAAGCCATAGGGCTGTGTGTTTGCACTGAGGTGAGGTGGAGGCAGGGGGGCCCAGGGGCTGAAAGCTTTGTTCCCGCCACCCCCAGGGCCCCTTGGGCTTTCAGGTGACTTGTGCTGGGTTCTGGGAGTGTTCTTAGCCACTGTTGACGTGGGGAGGCTCCCACCAGTACCCCCAGCTTAGGGCCTGGGCGGGAGTCCTTTAGAGGCAGACCTTTGAGGAGCAGGAAGGGTGCCAGGCTGCAGTTTCCCTTAAGGAGGGGCTGGTCTTGGGGGGGGGGCCCTTGCCCCCCTCCTGCCAGGCAGGAAGTGTGTGACTGGGCTAGTGTTTAACCCCTCTGAGCCCAAGTGGTTGCAGTTCCACAGATTCCTGAGCACCTGGTGCTGGTTCTAATGGAGATGCACTATCCCCTTCCTCTTGGGGCCTGGTGGGAGAGGCGTTGGGGGTGATACTGACAGAAAGGAGTGGGGGCCCCCAGAAAAAGTGCTTTCTACTCAGTGCCCTTCCTTATTCTTCGATGTGTCCCCTCTGCCCTGTAGACTAGCCCTCCATCCCTCCTCCCCACTGCTCTGTGGGCCCCAAAGGCTGACAAGCCTGGGACTTGCAACTGACCAGAGCAAGTGACTTGTCAGCCTGTCCCCTGTATCTCTGCCCTTGGCCCACATGATAGTGCCCTTCTAGCACCTGGCCTTCTCCCCTACTCTGTCTGACAAGGGTTGGGGGCCTGGGTACTGTACCCTTCTTCCTCCAGCTCCTACCGGAGGGGCTGGGGGAGTGGTCTGCATAGCAGCTCTGAGGAGGAGCCCTGGGAAGGGAGGTTCATCTAGAAGCTGTTGATCTTTTGTCTATTTCTTTGGCACGACATTTTGGGTAGAGCTGAGGGTCTAGCTAAGCTGCCTTGCTAGCCAGGAGGACACAGGGTGTGTTGGGAAAGGCCTGGGGTGGGGGACGGTGCCCTGCCCAATGGAAGTTGGATTTGGATGGAAAGAAATCAGCCCGTGTGGGACGGCCGTGTGTATGCCTGTCTCACGTGGTTGACATTTTTAGACACCCCGCCCCCCCGCCTCCCGCAATCCTTGGGCTTGGGATTCTGGGGCTTGAGACCTTTGGATCCCTGGCCTTCTTTGTGGGCTATGGGCTCAGCCTGGCTGGGCCCTGACTACCTCCAGGTTCTCAGGTGCGGCGAGGAGGCAGGGCCCCTGCAAGGCCACCCACCAAATAAAGTCTGTGGATCTGTTAGGGTTCCTAAACTGGTGCGGGAACAGGGGCAGCTGCTCCGTCACCCAGAGGACCCACCCTCCCATGGGTGGACAGAGGGTCAGGTGGCTAGGGTTCCCTGTTCTGTGGGACTGGCTGCTTGCTGAGAGGAGGGAACACTGGGGCAGAGGTGGCCTGACCAAACACTTGTGTGTCATGCATCCTGCAGAGTGCTGCGGCTGCCCCCAGTCCTGTGATGGGGAACATAGCCCCCAGCGATGCAATGGCAGCAGGCCCCATGGCGCCTGGCTTCTTCCAGGTACAGCCAGGGCTGGGGCCCTTCCCTGACCTTGGGTGCACGTGTGTCAGAGAGACAGGTGTGGGCCCCACGCTGGGAGAGGCTGGAGCCAGGCAGGCTGGAGTTGCAGGGGAGGGTTGTGGATGTGGTGGGATGCACATGCGGGCCTTGGTGGTGCTGGCAAAGGAGGGGCTACGGGATCTGGGCCCTAGTGCAGGAGAGGGTGGGGTGAGCATGCCAGGGCGCCTGGGCCCATGGAGCATGGCTCTCTCAGCCATGGGTCCTGCCCATGACCCCTCCTATAGGGGATACCCCCAGTCTTGCTGCTTGGTGAGTGGCCCACCCTGTTGCCTCCATGGCAGCCCCTCCTCTTCCCCTCCCTTGACCAGATTCAGCAGGGCCTCAGGAAACAGTGAGCTTCAGGTGACCCAGCTCTTCCAAACCCATCTGGTTCTGTCCTAGGGTCCTCCTGGCTCCCAGCCACCCCCCCACAACCTCAACACCCCAATGATGGGGCCTCACATTCAGGTAAGGACCTGGGACAACCTGCCCCCTTGCCCACACACGCACCCCTCTGCGCTCGCACACACCAGGAGCCGGCTGCTGTGGTTTGCTGGCTGGGCCTGGAGGAGGGGGCGAGCCAGGTTCTGGGCCTGGGCACAGCAGGAACCAGGTAGCTTGGGGAGGGGGGTGAGTGGGTAGGGGAGAGGTGCTGACCCCTGGCCCACCTCTTCCAGCCCTTCATGTCACCGCGGTTCCCAGGGGGCCCCCGGCCCACCCTGCGGATGCCGAGTCAGGTGAGAGAGGGAAGACAGATGGAGGGGTGGCAGGAGCTGGGCCAGGGTGGGGACACCCACACTCAATGGTCCATGCCCACTCTGCAGCCTCCTGTGGGCCTCCCTGGCTCCCAGCCCCTCCTTCCTAGCACCATGGACCCCTCCCCACGTGCTCAGGGTGAGTAGAGAAGCTCCAGCTGGTATCCTCCATGACCCATCAGGACCCCAGCTCTAAGTGCCCCCTCCCTGCTGCCTCATTGTACAACCGTCCCCCCAGGCGCGAGTCCACACTGGGGAGTGGTCCCGACCTGAGCCACCTTCCTTCTGCCCCCACCCCAGGGCATCCAAACATGGGCCCAATGCAGAGGGTGACTCCTCCACGGGGCATGGCCGGTGTTGGGTCCCAGGTAAGGGGTAGACCCAGGGGGCTTCAGGGGCTCCACCCTCTTGGCCTGTACTCAGGGCCCTTTCCCCCTCACAGAGCTACGGAAGTGGCATGCGGCCCCCACCCAACTCCCTCGCTGGCCCAGGCCTGCCCACAATGAACATGTAAGGCCCCTAAGGGACCCTCAGAGTGTGCCCCCAGGGGCCACCATCCAGCTTCTTGGGGCTGGATCAGCACAACAGCACAGGATATTATTTATTCCACTGTTGGTTGGGGAAACTGAGGCCCAAAGGCCAGTGAGTGATGGGTTGAGGTGTCCAAGTGGTTACCACATAGCCAACATCTGCTGTTTTGGGGGCCTAGGGGGCAGGGTTGGGAGGGTGGTGTGCTATCTGGCCCAGCCCCAGGTTCTACCCACCATCTTTTAAAAGGGGCCCCGGAGTGCGCGGCCCGTGGGCCAGCCCCAGTGGCAACTCGGTGAGTTGGGGAATGGGAATGGGGGGTGGGTTGGGCTAGGGGTGTGGAGGGTACAGTCCGCCAATGCCAGCTGCTTACTGCTGCCCCTCTCCCTAGATCCCCTATTCTGCCTCCTCCCCTGGCAGCTACACAGTGAGTGGGGCTGGCACTTGGCAATGTGATGGTGGGGGGAGCAGGGTGGCAGGCGGGGCCTTTCTAATGTTTTGCCTATCTCTGCATGCAGGGACCCCCAGGAGGCGGTGGGCCCCCTGGAACACCCATCATGCCCAGCCCTGGAGGTACTAGGGTCTGGGTTCAGTGTGGGGAGGGGTGTGTTTGAGGGAGGCCCCCCAAACCTAGGCCTTCATGTGTCATCTTCCCCAGACTCCACCAACTCCAGCGAGAACATGTACACCATCATGAACCCCATCGGGCCGGGTGCTGGCAGGGCTAATGTAAGTGGGGAGCTGTAGGGTAGGGGCGGCTGGAGGTGGTGGCTCAGCCAGTGGGGTGGTGGCCCAAGTCCCACCCAGCCCTTTTGCCTGCAGTTCCCACTGGGCCCCAGTCCGGAGGGCCCTATGGCAGCCATGAGTGCGCTGGAACCTCACCATGTGAACGGATCCCTGGGTGAGTGGGCGGCTGGGACCCACCCCTCAGGGGCTGCTTTGCTAGCCTCATGCTACCACTGAGGGCCCCCCTCCACAGCCCCGACCCTGTGTTCCCTGTAGGGGCATCAGGGTTGTGCCCTGAGCTTCTGTGGTTGACTTAGTGACGTCAGCTGCACTGGTGGTGGGGTCCGATAACTAAACCTCCAGGAAGCCTGGCTGGCAGCATTGGTACCCCTTCAGGCCTCCTCCCTGGACCCCAGGGCAGGCCAGGCAGAGGGGGTGGGTGCAGCCATGGTGTGTGGGGGGGTATGTTTGTGGAGGACCCCAGAGCAGGTGCATCTGAGCTGCGTGACACCATGTGTCCGTCATCCACAGGCTCGGGCGACGTGGACGGGTTGCCGAAGGTGAGAAGCTTCGCTCAGGCAGGGCTGGAGTGTAGGGCGGGAGGGCAGGACCAAAGTCTCGCGCTGACTGCGGCTGCCCCCAGAGCTCCCCCGGCGCAGTGGCCGGCCTGAGCACCGCCCCGGGCACCCCGCGGGATGACGGCGAGATGGCGGCCACCGGGACTTTCCTGCACCCGTTCCCGAGCGAAAGCGTAAGCGACTGCGTCGACTCTCCCCCCGCGGCGGCGTCGGGCCGGAGGGGCCTGGCGGGCAGGCCCCGGCGGGGCGGCCGGGGGGCCAGAGCAAGACCATGACTGCGGCGGGCCAGGTGGGGGGGCAGCCGCGGCATCCTTCCCCTTCTCTTCCTCCCCACTCCTGCCCTGGTGTCACGCCCTTACCCTGTTCCCACCCAGTGACCCTTGCCCCAGGACTGCCTCAACTCCTTAACTTCTTCCATACCTGCCCCCAGCCACTCCACATATGCCCCACTGGTCCATTTGTCCATTCTCCCTGGGGGGTGGGTCCCAGCCTAGGCCAGAGCTGAGCCCGCCCCCGCGCGCCACCCCCTCGTCTCTCCGCAGTACTCGCCTGGGATGACCATGAGCGTGTGACGGGGCGGTAGCCCCTTGCCCACTGCTGGCCTCGTCCTCTGCCCAGCGCCCCTGCCCGGGGCCAAGGGCCAGTGGCTCAGGTGGTCTGCAGGGGGAGGGTATAAGGTCACACCTTGGGCAGCTGGACTCCTGGTCAAGGCTTGGAGGCTGGGAGGCCACGCCCACGAAGGACTCTCATTTTATTAAAAACACAAAAACGCAAGGACCTCAGAGATGCTCTTTTCCGTGTGGGCCCAACCCCCACCCTCACTCCAGTTCTTTTTGTCCTGGGGGACTCCTTTGGGATTTCCCTTCCTCTGGAGGGCAAGGGGTAGGCCCCATCAATAAATGTAACTTGTTTTGGTTTTTGGTGTCTGATCTCAAGATTGCTTAACTTTGGCTTGTAGCCACACCCTCCACCCTGGGGTCTTAGCCCCACCTTCAGGGCTGGGTTAGGCAGAGGCCCTGGGAGTTCTGGAAGGTCCCTGAGGGTTGAGACAAGTTTTGAAGGGTAGGTAGGAGTCCTACCAGGTGAGAAATAAGGGGGTATTAGGGTTAGGTCGAAGGTCCCCCAAACCCGCAGGTATTGCTGATACGTAACAGTGCTTTTATTGTATTTGGAGGAGTCTGGGAGGGCGGATCCAGAGGGGAAACAGGGGTAGGAGTTGTGGGAGCTATATGGCCACCACCTTAGGTGGTGGGCATCAGGGGTGCCTCAGTCTGTGAGTGCCCGTTGGCATCACCAGTACAGCCATTGGGGGCCACTGGTGCCAATTCTTTCTTGTAAGACACATGGCAGGCAGCCACATGACCAACTTGCTTGAGGCTGGGGCGCTCCATCTTGTGCTCCAGAAGCATGTGGTTCTGTGGCGGAAGCCCCACGCAGGCCCTGGAGGACAGGTGGGGATTCAGCAGGGCCTCCAATCCCTAGGGCCCTGTGTGCACCCCCAAGGATGAGTATAGGACCAAAGGTAGGACACACCTGAGGATGTTCTCGATGCAGCTGCGCTGTCGGAAGAGTGAGTTAACCACAGGGCTGCCTGGTGGAGCCAGTGGTGCCTTAAAGAGGAAGCCCAGCAGCGACAGTACTGGGTGGAAGCCCTGCGGCTCTGGGTCCAAGTCGGTGCAGAAGCTCACGCGCTGGCACAGCTCAGTCAGCAGCACCAGGTCCAACATGATAGGTGCAGCCAGGAGTGAGTCCTGCAGGGCCAGTGGGTCAGGCGATAGGTAGGCAGGCAGGCGGGGGGGGATCCCACTCCTCCCCCCATGCGCTTCACACCTCACAGGTGTTGTGTAGCACCAGTGTGTTTGTGCCACCCAGCATCAGCTCTGATATGTATTCATCCATTGCACGCTTGCTGTCACCCACATATGGCACGTACTTGATAACAACCTGGGGGACGGCAAAGGGTCACATGGGCCCACTTTCCTGTGCTAGGGCCCCCCTACTGCACACCCCTCCCCCATCATCTGTGCCCCACACACGCAGTGGTCCGGCTCCTCGCCAGGTGCATAGAGCACAGGGTTGCTCTGAACCATGTCATCCACCACGCTGCTCTTTGACACCTCCTTGGAACGGAACTGTGGCGGCGCTGACAGGTTCTGCCCATCATTGTTGCCCAGGTGGTTGTAGCTCACGATGGACATAGTCTGTGGGAACAAGGAGTCCCTGCTGACACTTGAGGCCCGTCACTGCAAGAGCCTGGAGCTCAGGGTCTAGACCCCACCCCCTGAACCACGCACCCCCCCAGGCCCATGCACCTTGAGGCCGGAGCTGATAAGGAAGTCAACTAGCACGGACTTGACCTTGGTCTGGCCTGACTTGAAGTCATCTCCTCCCACAAAGACACGGCGCTGCCAAGCAAGCTCGAGTGCGCCGGGTACCAGAGTGTTCTGTGGTGACCCATTGAGGAAGGCGCAACCCTCCAAGATACTGGCCACAGCGAAGAGCGTGGAGGGTGACACCTCCAGGCCCAGCTGTGGGTGCAAACAGACAGTCAGTAGAGGGGTTCTCTGGGCTGGCCCTGACCATGATCCATCCTGGGTGCACCCACCTGGATGGTACGCAGCAGGTTTTCAGCAGTGTCATTGAGGCCAGGGACCAATTCACAGAAGCGCTCTGTGTTTGCTGTCCACAGCACAATGACTTTGTCCAGCCCCGCGCGGGACCGGAAGTCACGGATATCCCTTCGGATCTGCTCCAGCTAGGGAGGGGATAAAGTAGTATAGGCCTCCTGACCTGTGGAGGCCTGAGCTACTCGGTTCCCCTACTGCAAAGAGGAGCCTGGACCCTTGGGATGGAGGCAAGTGGACAATGTGGGGTGCGAGGCAAAACAGGGTAACAGGGGAGGAGAGGTGGCAGGGAAAGGGGCAAATGGTAGTGAGGACAAATGCTGCACCTGCTGCGCCCGAGTGCCAGGGATGAGGTTGTCCGCACGTGCGCTCTGGTTAGCTGCGATGAACTCTGGGATGTAGACTGAGGGCCTTGGGCGCAGGGCTTCCATGTGTGGCCACAGCTGCTCCTGCAGCCCCCAATCCACCACCTGGGCACGGCGCATTGCTTCGGCCAGGTTTAGCGACGATATGTCCCAGCCTAGGGGCAACCCTCAGGCTCAGCCAGGCTCTTAGCTGGGCCCCTCCAGGCCCCGCCCCCACCCCACCCCCCGCCCAGGGCCCCGCCCACCATCAAATATGAGGTCATCTGGCGACACCATGGGCAGCAGCGCTCGGAAGGGTACGAACACCTCCTGGCCCTCAGCGTCCAGGCCCAGGCTAACGGTGCCAGCCTGCGTCAGCGAGCCATAATAGTTGGCCTCCTGGGAGTGGCGTGGGAGGGAGGGGACGGAGTGATGACGGTGACGATGGGCATAGCGTGGGAGGGCCTTGGCTCTGCTCCTAGCCAAAAGCCGCTGCTCCCCCCACCTCCCAAAGTCTCTCTCCAGAGACCGCCAGCACCTTAGCACCTTAGCCTCCTCCCCATGGAAACCCCTCCCGTGGACCCAATCTCTCAGGGCCGGTCCCCTCCTGCACAAACTCCTAACTTCCATAACACCCCATTTGACCCTCCACCTTGCGACCCGTGCGTGTAGGCCAGGACAGGCGCAGTCGGTTGGCCAGTACGGCAGCGGTGAGTGTGGAGCCGTTGTTGCCGCCCCAGCCGACGAGCATGACCCCGAGCCGGGGCACTTGCCTGGCGGTCCGGAAAGTGAAGTTCGTGGAGGAGGGGTGCACCTGGGGGGCGGGGGCAGTGCAGTGAGCCTGGGGCTGCAGACATTGGGCAAACCCACCCCCTCCCGGCTCTATGGGTTCCCCAACTCCGGGCTTCCCTTGCCCACCTTGAGGATGCCATCCTCACGCCTGACACTAGTTGTCCGGTACTCGTACTGCGCCTCGATGACCTCGGGGCCGTAGACCACGTCTGGGCTCTCCACCACAAACTGGGCTGTGGCCTCCATCACAGCGAGCTGGAGACACGGGGTTGGCAGGAAGTCAGCGGGAAAACGAGAACTAGCCCAGCGGACCTCGATTCTCCAGACCTACACTCCGCCCAGGGCCCCCCATATCCCACTCACCAGCAGAGTCGGTTCAGACAGTGGCGCAAGGCTGGCGTTCTGGGCGCGCGAACTCTAGAGAAAAGAGCTGCGGCCCCGCCCACACCCCCGCCCCTCGCTCGCCCTGCGCTGTGGAGCCGGGTGCAGGGAGGAGGGGCACACTGGCCTTGGACTAGGGTTCGAGGCTCAGCAGTGCCGAGTCCAGGAGGCTATCACGCGTCCTCCCCACCGGGCGCTGCGGGCATCCACGTGGGCCACAGAGCGCGACCCCAGCACGGGGTATGTATATTCATGTCGCAACACAGTCTTGCTAGGGCGCGCAGCATCTTAGCCCCATTTCATAAAAGAACATTAAAGCACCAGGCCCAGTCACAAGGCAGGTTGGTTGGGCCTACGAGGGTGGGTGTCCCTGGGTCCGAGATACTGCAGGGGAAACTGGGCTAGCAGAATGAGCTAGGACTTACATCTCAATGCCAGACTACCTTTCAGTCCAGGCTGCCTCCCCTTCCCTCCTGAGTAGTAGCACCCACCAAGCACTCAGAGGTCTGACAGGACTCTCACATTTGGGGGTCCTGAGAGGCGGAGAGGAGGCAGGGGGCAGGTTCCTGGGAGAGAAAGGTTTCCCTAGCCATAGCAGGAGGGCTTGGCAGGGCCAGGTTGCGGGGTGGCTGTTAGATGGGCAGGGGAGAAAAGGGAAAGGGCAAGGCCCAGGCAGCCAGCTGGGGAGGAGCTAGGCTTGCACAGCACTGCATCTCACTAGCACCCAGTGATAAGAGCGTGGGAACCTGGCGGGGGAGCGGGGGTGGCTCCCCAGGAACTTTCCAAAACAAGAAGCCTCCTCTGGCTGAAAAGTTTCCACGACTGGAGTTGGCCCAAAAGGTGGATAGTTGAGAACATTCACAGGAAATATGGTCAGGGCCCAGGCCTTGGAGGGTGGGGCTCTAAGACTGGCCCCTGGCTTTGCTCTCAAGGGGGCCCCACTGTAGGGGAGTTGATAATGGCCTGGGGCACCCCCAGCTGGAGGGAACTCAGAGGGAGGGCTGGTCAGGGCAGGCTGGAAGGGGACTTGAGATCTGAAGACACATCAGAAGATGTGAATGGCTGCCCAAACAAAAACCTTGGGGCATGGTTCCGGAGCAAATGAAAAAGTGGCTGGGTTGCTGAGGTGGTGTGGGGAACCAGGGCAGACCCTCAGGGGACAGAGTATGGTGTAAGTATTTGGGTTTTGTCCTGGTTCTTTGGGGGAGATTGATTTTGATCATCAGTGGCCAGTGATTTACTCATAAATGTAACCTCCATAAAACCCCCTCAGCGGTGGGGTGTGGGTGAAAACAGGAGGTGCTGGGGAGGTGACACACTGGGAGCAGGCATGGGAGCCCCATGCCCGTCCCCACGCCACGCCTCTGCCATCTCTCCCCGTGGAGCACTGAGAGCCATTCTAGCAAATTACCAAACCTGCAAGGGGGTCGTCCAAAATCCTGATTTATAGTCAGTCATTCAGAAGTATGGATCGGCTGGTGTCTGAAGTAGGGGGGACGAAGTCTTGTGGGACTGAGCAGCTTAACCTGTGGGGTGTGATGCCAGCTCCAGAAATTGAACTGTTGGACATCAGAGGGTCACAGAGGGAGCTCATACCTCCAGGCCGGATGTGATGTCATGGGAATGTATGCAGAGAGGAGAAAGGCCCCAAGACACAGCCTAAGGAATCTCGGCATTCCCAGGGCAGCACATCAGAAGTGCCGGCAGGAGGCTTAGCAGGGTAGAGCAAGCCCAGACAGGCTCTGTGGCTGGGCAGTGCGGGGGGCAGCTGGAGGCTACTCCTCACTGTAAGATGACTGCTGGGATTGCTGAGTGTGCAACATGGGGTGAATGTGCTGCCTAGGGCAGTAACTGGGGACCACTGTCCAGACCAGACCACTGGCTCCTAAGAGCACGGGCAGAACTATCTTGGTTACTGCTGAGTGCCACTGCCCAGGGGGAGCCTGGTGCACAGAAGCAGCTCTGGGGTCCAGGTACTGGTGGGAGGACAGGTGGCAAGAGAGGTTGGGCAGCCCCAAGCACCATAGTGTAGGTCTTGAGGGATAGGGGAAGACCCTTTTGGGTACCTGAGTGGGCTGGACTCACGACATCCTTGGCTTAGGAAGGATATTCAGGGAACCAACTGCCTGCAGCTGCAGCTCACTAATGAGGCAATGGCCAGGGCAGCGCCAGGCAGTGTGGGGGGCTGCGGACAAGGTTGTCAGAGGTGGGAGGTGGATGGGCAGGCAAGGCTGAGGCGTGACAGGAGGCAGGGTACACTCTGCCCTGCCAGGCCTGCCTGACCTTGCCTCCCGTGCTCCTGGGATTGCTGGGCCTTCTCAGAACTCAGGCCAAGGTCGCTGGCCAGGGGGCCACCAGGGAGGCTGAGGCCCACAGCCCTGACCCCTGGACGTTAATCCTGGTCTTACCCTTTATGTTTTTTCCTCCCAAAATAAACGCCCACCCCCCCACTGTGTCCTTGGAGGCCAGGACTTCTGCCTTTGGTTCCTCACCTAGAACATGGGACAGGAAGGCCATGGGCCTGTAGGGCTCCATTGGGCCTCAGCATCCCCATCCCAACTGAGGGCACAGGGGACGCCTTCATGTGCCAGGCTAGGAGGAACAAACAATAAAGTTATCACTGTTGTCATCAGTCACAGCTTGTTTCCCCAAATAAGGGCACCCTCCTCGGCCTACATGGTGCTGCTTGCAGGCCCGAGGAACCCCCTGCTGGACTCAGCCCACCCTGTCCACACTGCAGGGTTGGTGGGGGGGGGGGCAGGTGCACTGCCCTGCTCACACACCTGCCTCCCATTTCTCTGTCATTTCTTACCTGTGACCAGGCGGTCTTGGCCTCCTGCCCTGGCACCTGCAGGGCCCACCGACTCAGGTCAGCCTCCACCTGCTGGCCTCATTCCTGGGCAGTGGCTCAGGCAGGCTGCCCAGTCACCATGGCCTGGCCCCAGCCCAGCCCCACACAGGACAGGGCCACCTGGCCTTGACAGACAGACAGACACACACATAGCCTGGGCTCTACTTTCAGTTCAGTGAAATTTATTGTAGGTTGAAAAAAATCAGCATTCACCTGTTTAGTGTACAAAAAGGACACCAGATCTTTAAGAAAATATTAGGAAATTGCAGACGTGGATGCTTTCAATTGTAACATTTTGGCAAAAGTGAAAAGTTCTTGTAAACACCAACTCCATGGCTCAATATAGTTTTTCTCCACAGTACAATATTAAAAGGAAAAAAAACAGTATCAATAAGTTAAGACCATATTTAATCACCTAGAACTTTTGTCCATCAACCCCCAAAGCATAAAACTTTTCTTAGCTTTGTAATTCCTTAAAAGGATGGGAAAAAAACAAACAACAAAAAGGAAATTCATCTGAGAATCCCTTGACCAGGTTCCCAGGGCAGAAGGTTGGGCCTCCTTCAATGATCCCTTGTCATTAGTCCGCCCGTCCACATGCACAGCTGTCTGCACAACTTGGGGTCCCGGGTTTTCTCGGCCCTTTGCCCACTCTGTCCCAAATGAAAAACAACACAATGGCAAGGGAAACATGAAGGGTGAGCTTCCTCGGTGCTCGGACGCCCAGGGGCCTGTGGAAAAGACTGTGGGGTGAGCACAGTGCAGGCATTCACGAGGGGCCTGCTCTTTGGGAAACCATCAGGAGATACCCCATAGCTTACACACAGCTGTGCCTGTGAGCACTGCCACTCTCCCTGTGGGGGTGTGGGTCACAGTTACCCACCACCCCACTGAAGGTGGCCCTGAATCTGAGTACAGCCCTCAGACCCCACCATGCCCTGGCACTCGGGGCCACTCGCACACAAACACAAACACACACACATGGCTCCCCAGTGCTCTGGAGGACACTATACTAGGCACAGTAACTAAGCAGCAATTGGGGTGTCCATATAGCCTGTGTCCCCAGAGTGGGTGGACTGAGAGCCTTTTCTGAGCTCACTCTTTTGGGGTCCCCTGACCCCACCAATCCCCAGCCCCTCCCTGAGTGCATACCCCATGGTGGCTCTGCTAAGACAACACCAGGACCCACAAGGGGACTGAGAAACGGAGTGAGGTCTTAACAGTACATGAAAAGCAGCAGTAAAGGGGAAATTGAGAACACGGAATAAAGTCCAGCACTGTTGCTGCATAATGAGCTTGTAGCACAGAGAACCCCAGTGCCCAACAGCTGAGGGCCTGAAATAGTGGAAACAGTGGACAGGCCAGGGGCTCCAGCAGCTGCTCTGGGGGCCAGCTGGAGTTCTCAAAATAGACTGGGGGTTGACCCACCCTGCACACCCCCTTAGAGAGCCCACCCTTGCTTGGGCTTGGAGAGCCTGGTCAGGCACTCAGCCAGAGCCCAGCATGGGAAAGGTGACCAAGGCTGGTCCCTTGCCCAGACTTTCCAATGGCATCTGTAATACTGCAGAGAGAACACAGGGCAGCATCTAGACCCTAGGCGTCCAAAGAGGGGGAGGCACAGGTTTAGAAAAAAGATGCTTTCTCTTTCATACAAAAATAGACTCAAGTCTCATGAGCAGTAGCTAAAAGTGGCTGTCTTTGTATAAAACTAGAAAAGGCAGGCAGGCCGGCCAAATCTTCCAGCAAGAGTAAGCTGAAGCCCCTTGGGCTGTAGTCAGCGAAGAGGTGGGCTTCCTAGGGAGCTTGTTCCAGGCAAGGGCTGCTCAGGAGGTACAGGGGCCAGGGATCGGGACACCCCGCCTGCATCTGTGACCTGTGGGTGCCAGGTCTGCAGGGGCTCCCCTGAAAGCCGGCATTGCTGGCTCAGATGAACGTGTCTTCCTTGTGTTTATTTTTGTTAAATAAATTTTCCCCCCATTTTTTGCTCCCCCCGCCCCCCTGCCTCAGCTCCCCTGATCCAGGGAGGGGGAGCTCCTGTCCTGTGGCCTGGGCTAGGGCCAAGCTTGCAGCTGCCGCTGGTCATACTCAGCAATCAGCCTCTTGATGTGGGCCAGCTTGCTGTGCAGGTACTCACAACGGTGCTTCTCTTGGCTGTAGTTGGCATTGGTCTGCAACAGAGCATCAGGGTGAGCCCCGTCCTGCAGCCACGGGCACCCTGGGGCATGGCTGTAATGGGGGCTGCCCCCTGTGGAGATGGCTAGCCTACTGGCCACCTGAGGCTCCCACTGCTCCTGCTTATAGGCCAGTGACCACTAGGCAGTGACAGGGACCCCTGCTGTACCTTGGGCCAGAGCCCTGGTCTGGTGTCCCTCCCAAGGCCCAGGCCCTACCCTGGGAAATGGGGCTATGGCCAGGGTAAGAGTTGGAAGCATGATCAGCATGAAGCCTCAAAGCTGGGCTAGGGCATGACTGGCAAGGAACCAGCTGGCACTCAGGGCACACATGTGGTGAACCCATAGCTAGTGGCCTTCAGGAATAAAAGCTGGTATCACCCTGGCCAGGCATCAGTGAGGAGCCACCTCACAGACCTTCAGGGACCCTGAGGACGGAGCCCAGAGCCCACAAGGATGGGCATCCCTGCCAGGCTGGCTGCGGAAGCTGGGTACTTTGTCTCCTTTCCTTGACCTTATGGGTGCACACTGAGCAGTGGGAGAGCTGGAGGGTGCTGGGGTGCACGGACAGAGGCTGCTCCCTGCCACCCCCACAGCGGGGTGGAGACTTACCTTTTTGATTTTGCGATATTCCTGCAAAATCTGCCCACGAGTAGTCTAGAGTAAAACAAAACAAGAAAACAATGGCCCTCACCTGTAGGAAGCTCCAAGTGAGTTTAGGGGGCAGGGGCTCACTGATAACCCATGACCTGCATGTCACTACTGGCCTAGGGACAATAAGCCTCCAGGTGGCCTTGAGGGGAGCTGATCTAAGTACAAAGGAAAGGCAGGCTGGGGGAAGGAAGCTGGACCTGGGGCAAAGTGCAGGGGCCCAGACTCAGGGACGAGCCAGCATAGTGGGAGGGGGCAAAGAGCAGGCAGGCAGCCTCCTTGCCTTGTAGCCCAGCTGACCTGCCCACTGTTCTTGGCTAAGCACAGAGGCCCCTGACTACCTGAGTGTGCAGGGAGATACTGGGGTGAATCCACATGAGGCCAGAAAGGATGGGGATCCCTGGGGGCTCATCTGTCCCAGCCCCTGAGAACCCCCATCGCTCCTCCAATCAAGAGCCATCTCCTCTGAAAACCAAAGTGGCCTCTGCCAATGGAGATAAACCCTGACCCGATTAATTATTGCTGGCCCTGCAGTTAGTTGATCAGTTCTGAGCGGTAGCCCAAGAAGGAGGCTGGTGCCCCAGAGTTGGAGACTAAGACTCTTTCGTTGCAGGGATCTCCCACATAGGGGCTTAGGGAGAGTATGTGCTCTAGGCCAGAGGAGGAGGGACTCCTGGTACAGGTAGGAGGACCACAAGGATGCTCCATCCTCTCCGACTTCCCACCATGGCTCTGACAGTGCACAGCTGGGCCATGGGGTGCCGTGTGGCCTGGCTCTTCCCCTCCTGGCCAGGGTGCACCCTGTGACGTGGGTAGTGGGCTGCAGAGAGGGCTCCATGAGGGATACAGCTCCGGCCCACTGCTCCCTGGCCTCACCATCCTGGCTACTCTAATCACCAAGGCTCGTGTGCCACCTGCTGAGTTGGCTCTACTGTCCCCACTGCAGAGGCCAAGCAGGCAGAGAGCCTTTGGGCTCCAGTGGCATAGCCCAGGGATAGGCTTCAACCAAATGACCAGCAAGGGGTGGCCACCTGCCAGTCCATGAAGGGCAAAATGATGGCACAGACCCTCCTCAACAGGGAGGACAAGGGTTAGGTTTGGAGGCCTTGGGCTTAGCTGAACTGTGAGAAAACAGGCCCTCCCTCCACCTGGGTCGGGTGTGGGCAGTGGGCCCTACCTCGTATTCCTCGGAGCCCTGGGAGAGCTGCCGGAGCTGGGCGTCCAACTGTGTGAAGCGCCGCGTGATCTGCTCGATGCGGGCGTGTAGGTCTCGGTACTCGCTGTACTCAGCATTGAAGTCGTTCTTATAGCTCTGGCGCTGCTCCGATGAGGAGATGGTGGCGTATTTTCTGGAAATGGGAGAGAGAATGGTGGGGCTCAGGGGCTGCTGCGGAGAGGCTGGAGTGACCGTGGCTGCGGAGACAGCCCCACCCAGGAAAGGCCCTGCCAACTCAAGCAGGAGCCTGGCCTAGAACAGGGTGAGTGGCTGGAACCCGCACACGGGGACTCAGACTCAGTCTTGCTGCCACTGATCTGCAGTGCAGGAAAGGGACGGGAGGGGATGGCAGGGGTGAAGCCCCTGGGAGAAGATTTGGCTGAAAGGAAGTACTCACAGCAAGTAGTCGGGTGTCTCCGAGGTTGATGTGGGGACACTCAAGTTGTTGCAGGTCCCGTTTAAACCTACAAGGACCAAACAAAATCTGCAAGAGGTTCATGCTTTGTTGTCTGAAGGACATGAAGGGACAGCCCTGGGGCTGTGGAATCCTGATGGACCCAGGGGAACCTTGGCCTTTCCATCACATTCGCATGTATGTTCCTGAACCACAGCTGTGTAAGTGCAGAGCAAACAAGTCCCCAGAGTGTTTGGTTTCCGGCCATGAAGCACAGACAGATGGCCCCAGGGGAAACCTTGAACCTGCCTACACCGCTCTCTGCTGACGGAATCAGTGGTCAGAGGTCCACCTAATGCTCCCACTCTTCCCATCAGACAGAGGACTTTGGGACCCAAAGGGTAGCCCTGGAACAGGGCTGGGCTGGAGTTGTGATGGGGCACACCCCAGGTGGTTGTGCTGGGGCTCAAGGACATAAGACCAAGGCCAACCCAGGCCGTAGTCAACTGAAATGACAATCTAGTGTGTCTACCCTCACCTCTCCTGCCAGCTTCTTCAATGGCTTTTCCCAACATAGAAGAGGTTTTATCACTTTGAAGCATATCCTCAGTGAGAGAAGTTTGCCAATCCCTCTGCTGGTTTCACACTTAGGTGGTAGGCATCTGGGCACCAGGGCACTCTGCAGCATACCCCCACCCCACCTGAGTGTGTTGTCTTTAAGGAGGCTGTGCTTTCCCTGGGCTAAAGCCTGATGGACCCATAGTAGAGGGTTTAGTCCACGCTCCATTAATGCATGCCTGGCTCAAGGTAGGCCTCCCGGGATGTTCTGCCTTGAAGCTCAACAAACCTTTGGGGTCCTGCCTACTGGAGTACCTGGCCTCCCTTTACCAGTAGAGGGGTTTCCTGCCATGGGGCCTCAGCCTCACTGGCAACAGCCCCCACAGCTGCTCCTCTCCTCACATCTCCATCACTCCACTAGCTTCTCCTGTGCTTCCCAGGGACAAGGGCAAGGGGATGTGTCTAATGAGTTCACACTGCAAGATAGAAAAAGGGCGTCCCAACCTGCCCACAGGGGTCAGTGGGCCTGAGCTGAGCCCAAGCCCCACACCCAGCATGCCAGCCTGCCCAGGAAGGTACCCTGAGGCAACAGGAGTGGTCCACAGCCTGAGTAAAAGCTGGGGGATGGGCAAAGGACCCCAGAGTGGTCCGTAGCACAGGGTGATGAAGAGGGTGGCCAGACAGTGGCTCTGGGAGGCACAAGTGGGGGCAGGTGTACCAGTTGGGGTCAGAGGTGATCATTAGGCAGAACTGAGACAACAGGGCCAGACTAGGGGACAGCGCCACACAAAAGAGTGCGCTAAATCATTGTAGGACACTTCCTCAGGTGCTGACCTAGAATGTTCTCTGGCATTTGGTAAGGGGCCTGGTGCCAGCAAACAATGCCACTGTTAGAAGATGGGTGGTTCCTGCACATTCATGTTTGCCCACATGCAGAGCAAAGCCCATACCCCAGAGAGAGCTGCAGAGCGGCACAGGACGAAGAGGGTTCTGGCCAGGCGGACTCTGTACCCACCCATTATTATCATGTGAGCCCCCTTCAAGGCATAGGTTAAGATGATCATCAACACCAGGCTTGACTTCTGGTGCTCAATCATTCCCTTCCTCTTCCTAGGGGCATCTACTCCCTGGTTTGTCTGATTCTAAACCTTACTTTCTTACCTTGGCCTAGGGACTGGGGACAAGCTGCCTGGCCAATTCACCAAAGGCAGGATCTGAGCCCCATGTGTGCATGGGGCCAGTTGGGGCTACATCTTTCTGGCCCTAGTCTCCTTCCTTCCCAGGGCCCTGCCAGAGGCGCAGGGGTCTTGCTTCCATTGTTCGGGAGAGATCATGTTACTGGACCAGCCTGCTCAGAGCCTGTCTTCCTGGGCAAGTCGGGATCAGAGGGGCACTCAAGAGACCAGGCCACCTTCTCCCAGTCTGCCTACCCAGACACGAGGAAGCCAGCTGACTGATTCTGTGTCTACCAGTACTTGTCCTCCAGTTAGAGTGTGGGGCTGTAGCAGCCTTTCTGGAGGACAACTGAACAACTCCTTAAAAAGCCAAAAGTGGGGCCCTGGCTGGCATAGCTCAGTGGATTGAGCGCGGGCTGCAAACCAAAGCATCGCAGGTTTGATTCCCAGTCAGGGCACATGCCTGGGTTGTAGGCCACGGCACCCAGCAACCAAACATTGATGTTTCTCTGTCTCTCTCTTTCTCCCTCCCTTCCCTCTCTAAAAATAAATTTTAAAATCTTAAAAAAAAAAAAAAAAAGCCAGAAGTGGCTTTATTACCCCAGAAATGGCCCTTGCTCTGACCCTGCCTGGGGAAATGATCCCAGAGCTGCAGCAGATGACAAGCCTGGAACTGCCTGCATGTGGAGGGGAAGAGGGGGCTCTGATAGTGTTGCCACATACTGACCAAGTTCACAGCCACATGGGGCTCAGCCCAGGTGCCTGGGGCTGTGAACTCAGGGTGGCCCAGGGTCTGCTGACAGCCTGGCCAGTCCACATGCCTCTGCAGTGTCCCTAAGCCCCATAGTGCTTTTCCTGCTCAATACATGGCCTGGGCCACCCTTGTACCCCTCATCCTGCTGCTGAGGCCCCAGATCTTTCGACTTCTGTCTTCCTGACTGGCTGTGTGACCCGTTCCATGACCTCATTCTGGCTCTCACTGCCCGCTGTTCTATGAACAACCTCTCAAACCCTTCCCCCACAGGGTCTTCAGGCCACACGATGCCCATGGCATCCAGGTGCGGCCCTTCTCTCACCAGGCCATCCCCACAGCTTTCCCTGAGCCCACCAGGCATCTGCCCGGCCCTGGCTCCTCTCAGTGTCTGCACCAGGAACTTGTCCCTCTCCCCATGCATTGTCTCTCCTGTGAGATTCAACTCGGTGGACCCTGTGTCTCTAGCCCCCACTGCTGGCCTGGCACACAAAAGACTGCCGGAGACTCCGAGGCTGAGACCTCTGGGTCATTCAGAGGGGCCTGATGTGAGAACACGGTGCAGAGTGAGCCAGTGCAGGGGCATGTGGGGTAATGTGGTCCCCTTGGCACTGAGCGGAGCCAGTGCTCAGGCTGTTGGCAGTGCCCTCCTACAGAGCCCCAGCCTGCTGGCATGCCTCTCAGGACCTACCTGGGGCACCTGGCGGGGCTCCAAGGGAGCCAGGTACAAGGTCTGGTGGCTCAGCCCGGGGCCTGTCCTCAGCTGCCCTCTCCTTGTCCTTGTGCTTCTTGTACTTCTTCTTGGACTTGCCACGAGACAAGCTGCCGTGGGGTTTGCTGGGCTGGGCACAGTCCTTCAGCAGGGGCAGGCTTAGGCACGCAGTGGGGGCTGAGGTGGCCACTTCCCCACGATCACAGTCCCGGCCACTGTGGCCCAAGTCATTGCTGACATCAGCCAAAGGGTCATGTGCCCTTGGAGGATCCAGCCGTGGAGGTAGGTGGGCATCTGTGCCAGTCAGTGGGCCTGGGGTGGGCAGCAGGGCCTCCCGGGTGTGGGGCACACTTAACTTCCCATTGAGGGCGGGCTGAGCTCTCTGTGTGAAGTGCGATATCCTTGGTTTCTTGTTGGCCAGCGGGTCAATAAAATCAGGAGGCTGAGGCCGTTTCTGGAAAGAAAGGGAAACCATTTTAGAGGAGAGCCTGTGTCTGGAGTAACTGATGTCCCCTGGGGAGTGGCTCAGCAGCAACAGGCCTACCTGAGCTAAGTGAGCAGGTAGGCCAGGCCCCAGGAAACCCAGGGCCCACCTGAAAGGCCTAGTCCGGCCACACAGGGGCGAGCAGATACCAGCCAGGCCCTTGGAGCCCACCCCAAGGACACGTGCTGAGGAAGAAGGGCAGCTGGGTCATCTGTGCACTGGCCCAACCACCTCCAGAGATTGGTTTGAAATGTCGCTGTGCTCAGTGTCTTCCCCCGACGACAGAGATGGTTGACAAGCCAAGTCTGAGGGATACAGGGCAGTCCCACAGGCCAAGATCCATCACCCCTAACCCCTGACTACTTTGATCTTAGGGCAGCCCGGTGCCATGGTCCAGGTCTCATCTCCATTTCACAGATGGTTACACTGGGGCATGTGAGGCAAGGCCGGACCATAAGAGAGGAGCCAGCACTGGCCCAGGGAGCCCTGACCCAGGGGCAGCTGTAGGGTGTGGGGGAAACAAGGCCCCACAGCTGGGGTGTGTACATGGATCTAGCCTTTCTACAAGGAGGCCTCATGGCCATGGACATGGGTTGAGTGTTGCAGGCCAGAGAAGGAGGGGTAGATGAGGGGGAGAGGGAAGAAGGGAAGGGAAGGGAAAGGAGAAAGGAGAGGGGCCTGGATGTGGGACTCACAAGTCAGAGCATAAAGGTGGCTGGGGGACAGCTTTTACCAAAAAGCTCAAGCAGTGATTACAGCAGCAGAGCTAAAGACCACCCCAGCCAAAGCCGAGTGAACCACACCTCCCCCGACTCCCTGCCACCCTTCCTGACTACTGACTACAATGGCAGCAGCCACCACGGCTCACATCGCCCCACTGGGTGCCATTCGTCCTGCAGCCAATTTTACAGACTCCTCAACAGCCCTGAGAGGCAGCAGAACCACATACAGACAAAAGACGAGGCTCAGAGCAGCCTAGTGCTTGTCCCCCCTTAGCCACACTACTGTAAGGTGTCTAAGGGAAGCACACCCAGGTCCTGGGCCCTTAGGCCAAGCCTAAGGGAAGCCAGACAGAGGCTCACTCATTGAAAAAAATATCCCAGCCCCAGGCCAATGGCCTAACAGACTCCCCAGACATCAAGGTTGGGTCAGGCCCAGTGGCTCTGGGTGAGACCCGCTCCACAAGCATCAGCACCTCCACAAAGTCACACTCACATCCACTGCTCCTACCTGCGGGGGTGAGACCGAGATCCCATGCTCCCTTGGAGGGCTGGTGGCAGCAGAGTCTCCAGAGAGGCCGCCTGCACTCGGTGGCTGGCACAGCTTCCTGCGAAGGAAAAGCACGGTGGGTGGGGGCTTGCAGAAGTAACCCACAGGGTGTACCCAGGCCCACCTGTCTCTGCAAAGACCCAACACAGTCCCACCTTCCCTGAGTGATTTGGGGATGGGCTGCTGCCCTGATCCAGAGGAAGGCAAGTGTGATGGGTATGTTAGGACCTGATGGGCAGAGCCACCAGAGTATATCCTGCCCTAGGTTTATCCACAGCTGCCCCTTGGCTGTGGCCTCCCTGCCCAGAGGACTGCCCCACTGGATGTCCTGTGCCCAGAGAAAGGTCAATTGATCACCTGTTCATCTAGACTCCTGTTACCATGGGGACCAGGAAACCATGTAGAATTGACCAAATGTCTGTAGAAATGACCAAATGTCTGTAGAAATGACTCAATGTCTGTACTATTTCCCCAAGGGAGCTGGGACACTGGGGTGCTGGCCTCTCAACTATTCATCCTAATAATGATGTTCACTGTAGAAACTTTACAGGATGTAGGAGAGAACCAAGATGCCTGGTCCATGACAGGAAGGGCTCCTGGGTTCAGCACCCACCTTCCTGGGGGCCCAGACTACAGTACCTCCTTGTGGATGAGAAGGATGGCCACTGACCCACCTGGACCTGAGCGAAACAATGCAGCCAGTGATAAAAGAAGAGGCAGACACCCCAACACTTGATGAGCAAAAGGAGGCCCTGACAGGGACTCTGGCACTATGTATGGTGCCGAGGGCCCTCCTTGACCTGCAGGGAGGCTGAGATTCAGGGGCTCAGAGGCCATATCTGTGTTGCTTCAACCAGCAACAAGCAAGCCTGACTCCCTGCCCAAGGCTCACACTCCAGGCCACTGGTGCTGTCCCCTGCATGTGGCCCAAAATGCAGCAAGAGTCACAGGGAAGGTACCCAAAACATGCAGAAGCTGCCCTGGCCGGTGTGCCTTGGTTAGTTGGAGTGTCGTCCCATGTTCCATAAACCGAAAGGTCACAGGTGTGATTTCCAGTCAGGACACATGCCTAGGTTTCAGGTTTGATCCAGTGTCAGGGCACATGTGAGAAGCAACCAATCGATGTTTCTGTCAATACTGATATTTCTCTCTCTCTCTCTCTCCCGCTCTCGCTCTCTCCCCTCCCCTCCCCTCCCCTCCCCTCCCTTCCCCTCTCTCTAAAATCAGTAAGCATGTCCTCAGGTGAGGATAAAAAAACATGCAGGAGCTCACTAGGCAACATGGTCCCCATGGCCAAGGTGGGGCAGGTTTGCTGTCCAGACACAGAGAAGCCACCAGAGCTCTGGTTAAAGATTGAAAACCAAGGACAGGTGTTTCTGTCTACTCTCTTTCAAGGCCCCCACTAAAAAGACATGAAGAGGAAACAGAAAAAGAGAATAACATTCAACACTAAAGCAGTACAGGTGGTGTCTGTCCTATATGGTCCTGAGGCCTGGGGGTCGGAGCCTCAGGGACCTCTGAGGAGGAGCTCCAGCAAGACTGCTCCCACGCAGCCCTGCCCTGGGACCTGGTTTGCTGCCGAGTCACAGCACGTCCTGGGGAGAAGGAACCCAGGCCTTCTCCAGGCACTAGGAGGCTGCTCGGGCCACACCTGGAGAACAGGAGGGACAGACGTGTGGCCTTGGGAAAAGAGAAAGTAGAGAGACCCTCCAGAGGAGTCAGAGTCGCCAAGCGGGAAGTCCTGAGGAGATTAGGGCTTCTGGGCAACAAATGTCAGGCTCCAAAATAGAAAAATACATTAAAAAAAGGGAGACTGAGGGCATGAAAACTAACTCAACAAAAAAAACACCAGTCTTACTATCTTCAGAAAGACAAAGGACCTGGAATAGACATCTCTCTGAAGAAGATATACAAATGGCCAATTAGCACATGACTAGGCACTCAACATTGTTCTTCATCAGGGAAATGCAAATAAAAACTACAATAAGATACTACTTCATACCTACTAGGATGGCTACACTCAAATATGAAAAACAGAAAAGTGTTGGCAAATATGTAGAGAAATTGGAAGTTCTGTGCACTGCTGGTGGGAACGTAAAATGGTACAGTCACTAAGGAAGAGTTCAGTGATATTTCAAGAAGTTAATCATAGAATTACCATATGGCAAGGCCCTGGGCAGGTAGCTCAGTTGGTCAAAGCATCGTCTTTATATGTCAAGGCTGCAGGTTCAATCCCAGATCAGAACACATACAAGAATTGACAAAAAAATGCATAAATAAGTGGAACAATAAATCGATGTTTCTCCCTCTCTCCCTTATTCTCTCTCTCTAAAATAATAGAGTGTTTTTAAGCTTAAAAAAATGGTATGTGGCCCTGGCTGGTGTGGCTCAGTGGATCGAGTGTTGGCCTGTGAACCAGGAGACTGCCAGTTTGCTTTCCAGTCAAGGCACATGCCTGGACTGTAGGCTGGGTCCCCAGTGGGGGGCATGCGAGAGACAACCCATTGATGTATCTCTCATACATTGATATTTCTCTCCCTCTTTCTCCCTCCCCTCCCCTTTCTAAAAATAAATAAAATCTAAAAAAAAGAAAAAGACATAAGACAAAATGGTATGTGTTTGACAGAATTGAAAATCCACGCCCACACAAACCCTTGGACACAAATGCTCAGGGCAGCACAATCATACCAGGAGGTGGAAACAACCCAGGTGTCCATTGACAGATGAATGAATAAATAAAATGTGGCCCAACCACATAATAGAATGTTATTTGGCCATAAAAAGAATGAAGCACTGACACACGCTACAACCTGGATGAACCTTAAAAACATCACAACACGTAAAAGCCAAGCACAAAAGGCCACGTGGTGTATGACCCCATTTATATGAAATGTCCAGAACAGGCAAGTCCACAGTGACAGAAAACAAATTAGTGGTTGCCAGGGGCTGGGGGGCAGGGGCGATGGGGGAGTGAATGCTAATGAGGACCGAGTCTCCTTTGGGGTGACAGAAACGTTCTAGGAATTAGACAGAAGTGGTGGCTGCACAACACTGCGAATATACTAAATACTAGTAAGTTGTAAACACTTTAAATAAGTTACTTGTGTTAAGTGAATTGTATCTCAATAAAGCTATTATTTTTTAAAAATATCCTTAAATCAGAAGTCGCATCACTCCATGGGTAAGAACACGATGCTGCAGAAAGACTATAGGAAGGACTCTTGGGAACTAAAAACGATGGCCACAAGATAGGATGGGAGAAGCCAAAGAAATCTCCTAAAGGAAAAAAAAGAGAGAAAAGACAAGAGGGAAGACAACAGGAAGAGCCCAAGAGCACAGTGCCCCAGTGGCAGAATCAGAGGAAGCATGAGGAAGGACAGGGCGAGTTTTCAGACTCTGAGGGCCACAGTGCCCCTTGACCCCAAATCACCTACGAGGTTGTCCACGTGGATGTACACAGGGCCGGGGGGAACCTCTCACTATTCCCTACCAACCAAACACATGTACATGTGCGCACACATTTATATGCAAACATTTACACAGGCTACTTGCTCTCAGCCATGCCCCTTCCTGGGAGCTCAGTGAGGATAAGGCTCTGGGATCCGGAAACCTGGTGAGGGACTCGGAAAGAAAGACAGACAGGAGCAGCCTTGCTGGGCCCCGTAAGTGCCACCTCAAAGCAACTGGATGGGAGTAATCAGCCATGTTAACACTGGACCTTTTACCAAAAATTCTTTGATGAATGAAAACACCTGCAGGAGGGGTCATTGACAACCTGCCATGTTTAGCTAGGGCAACAGAGAGGGGAAATGGGACAGGGCATCTCTTCTACAGAGACGGTCTCCTCTCGGCTCCCCAGCACCAAGAGACCTCAGACAGCCAGAGCAGGGGCAGGGATGAGGAGAAATCTGGGTTTCACCTAGAGTGGCCCCAACTCAGTTCTGCTTTCCAGATGTAATTACTGCTTTGAAGAGCTGAATTAAAACAATAACAACAAAAACGCCCTTCATAAAGAGCTCCATGTCCTTGAGATAAAATTTAAGTATTACTGTATTTTGCCATGCATAATGCACATTCAAATTTTTGACGGAAAAATAAAGATGCACGTTATATGTGGGTAGTTCCTGAAATACCTTATATCTGGTTCTTGTGTTTTGTAATAACTTGCTACATAAAGTTTCTTGTACCATAGTATGTTAAAAAATAAATGCTAAAACTCCTTTATAATACAAAAAAACATATCTAAATATAAACAAATAGAATTAAAAAATTAAAATGAAAGACTTTTTCTGAAAGTTTGGGCCACAAACACAGGTACACATTATACACAGGAACACATTATACATGGAAAAATACAGGTGATCAGCGATCCACTGCCTCCCAAGCTAGGCCTCAATCAAAAGGAATCGATTGCTGGCCATTACTCACTCCTCCCAGAGCCCCCTAAGCCACTCCTGATCTCTGGTTCCAATTAACCCCAGAGGGGATGTGTTTAATACACTTGCCTAGTCCCATCTGTGGGGAGCTTTGTCTAACTTTCTCTGCTTCACATTCTTAAATGGCTTTAGGGAGGAGGCACAGTCTCCTAAGTAGAAGTGCTTGAGGACTCACAGGTTCTGAGAAAGAAGTTTCATGGGAAGGGAGGCGGGCAGTGGAAACAGTCTGGCTGGACTGAGGCCTCTGTCGGGCACCATGCTGTTGGTGAGAGTGACTGACACATGCCTTCTACCCCCACATCAGGGAATGGCCTTTTCCCCAGCAGGAGGCCAAGGTGGGCTACTCAGGCAGTGGGGAAGATGGTCAGAGAGTTCCCAAGGACCCTTCCACCTGGCTCCTGGTCCTGAGGCCTTTGGGACTAGGCGAGGCCACCCCAGCATTCTGGTGATGAGATCTGTCCCAGGCCCAGGGGCGGTGGCCTTACCTGACAAGCATGCGCTTTAGTAGCTGCTGGTCCCCCTCTGAGTAGCCGGGCCAATCCTTCTGCACATCCTTGTACACACAGTCCTTCAGTGTGCACGTGCCGTCCTTGGCACTCACGTTGGCCACCTGCAACACAGAGCCAGCGTCAGCTTGTGGGAAGCCTGGAGGATAGGGAACATGGAGGAAAACACAGACCTGGAAAGAAAGAGGGTAATACCCCACACCCAGCTCTTCTGCACTAGGTCCAGACACACACGTCTTACAGTTGCTAGGGGCCAGCCTGGCTTCAAAAAGGGGAACTGCCATCTACGAACCCCATCACCGGCCTACCCCCCTGCTATGGACTGAATGTGTATATCCACCTAAAATTCATGTCACACTATGTGATGGTGACATGGGAGGTGAGGCCTTTGGGAGGTGATTAGGTCCTAAGAGTCAGCCCTCATGACTGGGATTAGTCTTTATAAAAGAGGCTCCAGAGAGCTCCCTCACCCCTCCTGCCATGTGAGGCAGTGTGAAGATGCTGTCTGCGAACCAAGAAGGAGGCCTTCACCAGCAACCCAATCTGCTGGCACCTTGTTTTTGAACATCCAGCTTCTACAACTGAGAAGTGAGTGTGTGTTGTTTGAGCCACGCAGTCCATGTGACTGTTACAGCAGCTTGAACAGATGAAGACCTCCCCACTATGATTTGCAGCTCCCAGGACAGAGGGTGAAGCTGAGGCTGGGGATGCCAGGTGAGGGGGGTGTCCAGGAGCCAGACTGAGCCCACATTCTGTGCGGCAGACCACTCTGCTCCTATTGGTTAACAAAGGCTGAGTTGGCCTCCAACATGGTTTTCAAAGATGGACTTAAAACATCTGCCTTAAGGGTGCTTGAAGGTGTGAAAGCCACTGCCCTAAGGCAGGCACTTCTGTGACTGTCTCGCTGGATGCGCTGGGCACCCTGGTCTGCTACATACACATGTGCAGCCATACGCTGCTATTCCTCCCTATTGCTGGGTTCCAAGAGGACTCCATGTCACCGCAATTTGCACAAGGAGCATTTTTTTAACAGTTGAGTAATATTCCACCAAATGGCCAACTGTGATTCATTCCAATGCTTTTCCTTTGCTGGACACTGACGCACTTCCAATTTCTCTGCAGCAGAAACAGACGTCACTGTGTGCAGGCTATTCCACACAGGCAATGTTTTCTTCAACCAGCTTCTCAGAAGCAGGATCAGTGGGTCAAAGGTTCTGAACATTTTTACAACTTTTGATACATTTTGCTTAAATGCTCACCAGAAGAGCCTCCCACCCATCAACACTCCCACCCAGGAGGACAGTCTATGGGTTTCTTTGAGGCCCAGCCAGCACTGGAGACAGATGCCTTAAATCTCTGCTTTAAAAGTTCCCACAGAAGGAAGAGAGAAGGCTCGGTTGAGGGGCACAGCATAGTCAGTGCTGCTCATCGGAACCCCCAGGCACATGGGGAGGCTGACCAGCCTGGGCGAGAAGCAGCCCAGAGTATTCCCAGAGACCTTCCTCTTCCCCATGCTGACAGGGGCCTGCTGCCCCACCATCGCTGGGGAGGGCAAAGTGGGTAGTGAACACAGAAGCACATGGCAGATGGAGCCATTCTAGAGAAAGCAGAGCAGGATGCTCTGCCTGCAGATGCTGGCTGGGCTGCCTCCAAGAGGCTGCCAACCCAAGCTGAGCAGAGAAGCCAGAGCCCAGCATGGTGCCTCTCTGGTTCCAGAAAGGCCTGGAGCACCCGGGGGGGATTAGAGACAAAGCAGGTGCTCTGGACAGGTCCCTATCAGCACCTCCAGACCTGTCTCTCCAGAAAACAGAGCCTGGTGTCCTGCTGTGTCAGAGGGCTGCTCTGAGGGTAGCCTCAGGTGCAACCATGTGCTCAGCTAAAGTTTCACACCCTACATCTGAGGGGCTCTCATGTTTCTTCTTCATTCCAGACACAAACAGGGCAAGGGGGAGGGTGGGAGCGAGGGCATTCCTAAAAACACCACACCAGAGGCTGAGGGCCCACCTGGCAGAACTGAGGGCTGCAGGCATGTCCAAGGGCAGGCATGGGTCCTACTGGTGTCTTTAGTCCTGACTCACATCTGACAGCTCTGTCAGGCTCCCCTAATTGGTCTCTGGGGGTGTCCAGCCCTGGGGAAGGGCCTTCTGTATGCTTCCCTTTTATTCCCAAGGACAAAGCCAATACATTTGACTATCCAAGGAACTGAGTTCCCTGGGAAGGTTGTCCTTGGTTCTGGAACTTTCTGGATGCTTTGGCTAGCCTCGGAGCCAACTCGTGAACTCTCAGGAAGAAAAACCGCTGCCCGGTCTCTGCCAGCATGACCTATGATCTGGGGATGGTGCCTCAGGAGCCAAATCCACAGAGGTGCCCAGTGAGTGCCCATGGGAGCCCCCGACATCCTGATAATGGACCCTGGGACACAGGAGATGTCTTCCTAGCAAAGGGTGGGGAGGTGCCTGCCCATGGGTCCTCAGTGACTATGGGTGGGCCTGAGCCCCAGACCAGATCTGCAACCACGCATGGAATGAAGCTTCATCTTTTCCAATAGGGGAAGACCACAGAGGCCTCATCTCCCTACACCTGCCCTTTGCCATGAACTCTGGGGAGTAAGGGTAATGAGGGAGGGACCCTAGCCAGAGAACAGGTGCCGACATCCTCCTACCAAATGTGCCATGTGGATTGCCAGAGCTTCGGGCTGTACTGAGGAGGGGGAAAACAAACACCTGGAGGCCTGCTGAAGAGCTCAGCAAATGTGAAAATTCATCCTTAGATACAGCTACCACCTCCGTGTGGGCTTTCTGCCCCAGGAGGTGCTGGCTGAGTGCCCAGAGTTTCAGAGGTGGAAAGCAGGAAGGACAGGTGAGCTGGTAGAGGGAAACCCGGAGAGGCCTGACCAAACCTCCTCCTCAGGTTGCTGGCGGGACTGTCTTCACAGCAACACAGCGAAGCACATGGCCAGAGCAAGCCACTCACTTCCCAGGGTCCTCTGGCTGCCCCCTAGAGCCCTGGGAGCCAGAGCAGGGGCTCGGTAAGGTGGCTGGGCTCACTATTCTTGCTCCAAAGCACAAGCTGTTTTTCAGTAGCAGGTTCCACCTGCCAGCACCAGGTTCCCCCCAGGTAAGCCCTAGTCCTCACATGAGGACTGAAGTCATGCCCCAGCCACAGGTGGGAACTAGAGGGTTCAGAAGTGAAGCCTCCTGCTCGGAGTCACAGCTGCTAACTGGCAGGGAAGCCCACCTAACTGCTGAGCCCTAGTTCTCCCTAACTAACAAGTGTGTATCCCTGGCGTCACTCAGTTCTAAAACGCTTGTGCAACTGAAGTCTTGGATCTCCTGTGCAATGCCCGTGCCTACATGTTAGTAGATGTCAAGGAGCACAGCGCTGGCTTCTCTGAGCTGACCTGTAAGCCCCCAAACAGTAAATGCCACACTCCCAGCCCACCGTGTGTCCAGACCATCTGTAGAGGGTGCTCACAGGCTGGCTGGACCCCACCCCACCCCAGCCAGCCCTGGGTAAGCATGCACCTGCTGGAGGAGGCTGTCCAGCGTGTCCTTGTCTGCCTGGGCCAGGCCATCCTTCTGGAGCCGCAGCAGCAGTTCGGCCTTCCGGTAGGGCCTCAGTGCCAGAAGATGCAGCACCCGGTCACGGAAAGGCCTCTGAGACACCCCACCACCCCCGCTAACACCACTCTTCTTGATGGCACTTGCCAGGTTGATGGGGGTTGCCCGCTTCCGGGAGGGCACAGCATCTGTCGCCCCTGGGGCTGGTTTCCTAAACTGAACCTTCTTGCCTACAACGAGAACCAGGGTGTTAAATTAAGGATTGGAGGAAGGGAGGGGGTGACCATGGTGTTCCAGTGCTTGGGGCTGATGCCGAGATCTTGAGCGTGGAAAGAGATGGGCAACAGCACCACACCCCTGCCTGCCAAGCCAGCATATCCCACTTAGCCTGCTTGGTGGGAATCCAGAGTGGCTGAGAGCGCCACCTGCTGACCACATACAGCTCACTGGGTACCAGCAGGCTCAGAACTGAGAGTGGCAAAAGTACAAGCATGTTTAGGGCCATAACCAACCCATCACGGACAACCTGAATCCTGGGGACAAAAACACTGACCACCACAGGGAGAGGAAACTGGTCTATGATCCCTCCTGATATTAAATGGGGGCCGGGGGAGGCCTGACCTGCCAAGGGCCCCATGGGACCCACCACTCTTATAAAAAAGGAAATAAAAGTCTCGGCTGTTTGGGTAGCTGCTCTGGAGAGCCTGAGATGTTAGCAGCTCCTCAGCTGCAGCTCTGAATGCTTGCCTTTCAAGCAGACGTGGCTGTGCCCAGAGCCCTGGAGGCAGTGGGCCAATCCCCGTCCGTCTGGTACACACTATGGGGTCCAGCATGGCTGCCCCCTCCACCGAGCCAGTGAGCACCACTCTCGAGGGAGGAAGTTGTTAACTCTGTCCCGCACAGCACCCCTACTACAAAGGGAATGTGAATGGCCGAGTGCATGCCCCGAACCCTTGGGCCAAAAACTTCCCCACGATGATTTCTTTTTGCTCTTATCCCTCAAATTTGACTTGTCAGATTAACACAGGAAGAAGTGTTATTCGAGTCCTCAGGGCTTGACTCTGTCCCTAGAGAACCCAGCCGACAGGCTGACATGGGATGGGGACCAGGCCCAGCCAGAAGTGCCTGCCAAAAACCTAAGAGGCCAAATGAATGTTTCCATCAAAACGTAAACTGTGGCAAAAACCTTCATTGTATATACAAAGTGGTCCAATAAGACAGATCTTGACCAAGTTTTTGGCCAAGGACCCAGAAATTCACTAAAATTTGTATGAATGACTATGTTCGCATCTTGAGGCAAAAGAAAGTGGGAGAAGCATGTTTGGTTCTGGCCCCGGTGGCTGGTGGCCCTGTCCCCTGGGGCTCAGCACTGACCAACGGGGATTTCATTCAGAGCCAACCCCACTGCCAAGCAAAGGAAACCAGGCTTTCTTGGTGGGGGCTGGAGGGGCAGGGGTTGAAACCTTCCCATTTCTTCAAAACAAAACAAAATAACAAACCCACAAAGCCACCGAGGTCCTTGTTTGCTGTAAGCTGGTTCATGCCTCTCCAGCCTGATGCTTCTCTTTCCCTGGCAATAAATTCTTATAACTCCTCAACTCTGTCTAGGTCCAAAAGGTGAAAAGGCTATAGCAGGACGATGAGTTTTCTGAATAAACTGTATTTTTCTCCTGATTTTTAATGTTATTGGTGTCTCAATTTCACCAAAAGTATTTCCAAGCAGATGCTGAGCTGCTGGAGCCTTCTAGGCAAGCAGGGATCAGAGCCTTTCCTTCCAGGTCTCAACCTAATGCTCCCTCGCCAGCCCCAACACAGCAGCAAGCCACCACGGGGTGTGCCTGGCAGTTTGGAGCATGCCAGCCATTCAGACTTGGTGAGGAGTCAGCTGGGCAGATGAGACGGGGTGGCACCCAAAGAACATATGGCAACCCTGTCTTCATGGAGCACATATGCGTCCCTGACGAGCAAAGGCCCCTGAGGTTGCAGATTCAAATTCCTCCAGTTCTTGGGTCCTGAGTCCACCTGGGGGTTGGAGGCAGCAGACGTCATAGCCCCCACCTGACTCAACAGGACCTTTTTTCTGACCTGACATGGACCTGGCTGGTCCTTCTCAGGGGCTGGGCCACACCTCTGTCACCCATCACCCCTATTCCTGGACTGGGTGGGCCCTTTATGTCTCCTGCCCCCCCACCAATAGCTGCCTGGCAGGCATTATCCCCTCACAAGTGGAGCCTCTCATGGTTGGAATCCCAGGTCCCCTTCCTCACCTAGGTAGCGGCCTCCGGGCTTGATGACAATAGCGCCCCTGCTCCGAGTCTCCTCCTCCGCCTGGGCCATGCTCTGCCGTGCCTTCTGGTAGGAGTCGTCAGTGGCACACACTGTGATTTTGTCCTGGATGCTACCCAAGCAGTCCAGGTGTACATCCCCATGGCTATAAGACAAGGGACCAGGGGCCAAGATGAGTACCTGGGAGACAGGGAGCTATGGTCTTGGGGCCCAAGCCCCCACCCTGCCCATCCCCCACCAGGAAACAAGGCTCAGCACTGATGGAACCACACGGTTTCCACAAGGCGCATCTTGACCCAGAAGAAACAAGGGGACCCAGGCCCCTGGGTCAGAAGCACAATGGCGGGACCTACAGCCTGGATACATGAAAGGAGTCAAAGCAGCTCATCTGAGAGAAGGGAGTTACTGGGCCAGAAGGCAAACACCTGCACAGTGGTCTGAGCTGGGGGGAGCGGCCCAGGGGAGAGGTGGGGAGACAGGGCTGTTCCTCAGGGCCTCACCTGGAGACGTACTGCTGGATGCAGTCAAAGCTGCCTTGGGGGCTGTCACGGCCAATGTTGGAGAGGTAGAAGGAGAAGGTCCGAGCCTCTGAGGGGCAGTCAGGTTGGGGGATGAAGATGTGCTGCACAGAGACGGGAGCGCAGTATCACCAAGAGTCCAAAGCATGAAGGGGACCATGGCACAGGCCAGCTGCTGGGCCCCACCAGTCCACACAGTGTGACCCTTATGGCAAGAAGATGCTGGCACTCTCCTTCAAAATATACCTCTGCTTTCCCGGCAGTGACAGGACCCCAGGAGTGCAGAACACTCAACATGCACTTGGAGGCAAGGACCCCACCCAGATCTGGGCCATGACTCAGTTTCCCCACCCACCAAACAGGGCATCCTTAAAGGAAAAATGAGACAAGATGGGTGTCAGAAGCCAGCAGGGCATGCTGGGCAGCCAAGATACTCTGACCCTTGCTCCCACTTAATGACCACCTCTCCATCTCCTCCATGGGGATACAGATTCCACTCACTGCCCTGTGGCCATGAACAAGGTTTTGGAAGGTCACAAGGGAGACTCAAGCCAAGTGCATATTTTGCACATAGCTACCCAGAACATGGCAGAAAGCCCATGCAGCAGTCAGCATAATGAAAAGGGGTTTCTAGGGAACCTGAGCCCAATATGGGCAGCTCCTCCTTGCCCATTCTGATCCTCTCCCTAACCTAGTCCTGGTCTGGAGGGACATGGCCTCCTCAGGCAGCATCTTTCTTCTGTCTCAGCTCAGGGGGCAGTGGCTGCAGAGGTTGTCAGTCCCCATTGAGCTGTTACCCCTGAGAGGAAGAGAGGGAGATCCAGCCTGAGCCCCCTGGGTACTTCCCACCTTACCTACTCCATCCACCAGCTCGTGCAGCCCCACCCAGGCAAGCAGGTGGGAAGGGTGCACTCTGGCTCCAGCTGCAAAATAGAGCTCTGCTACTGTGCGGCCACCACCCTGACAAGCACAGCCCACACTGGATCAAGACAAAGCCATCTGCGACAGCTTTGGGACACCCCAGCAGCCTGGCAGAGAGCTGACGGTGGGACCCTGCCATGTGCATAGAGGCCCACCCACCATGCTGCAGACGCCCTACCCAAGCCTGTGTAGGGAGCAGCCACCATGCTGCCCCCTGGGTCGAGGCTGGGGGACTCTTCACTCTGACCCTCTCACCCTGTGTGGGTCTTCTCTACCCAGGCACATATGCCCACTTCCAAAATCCATTCCAGGGTAGGGGAAGGCCCAGCACAGAGCCAGGGGCCGGTCTGTGCAGGGCAACAGGTGACATGGGGCTTGAAACCAATGTTCAGAAGAGCCTCGTCCTGCTAGTGACAGGAGAAACCACACACAAAGAGGGCACTTGTGACCAGTGTTCTCCAGACAACTGGGGATGGGCGGGGATATGCTGGGGGCCCCTCCCAGCCCCATGGCACCACTGCTGTGGAATCCTGGGTTAATAGGTTATTGCTGGTTAATAATGACCAGCCTCTGGAAACCAGCCAGCTGGCACAGACAGCCCAGGAAGGCGAAGCTGCCTCTGCCAGGGGAGACTGTGGTGTGTGTTCCAGGACATGGCTAGGAATGCAGCAGCCACGAGTGTGTGCCCTCTGGACGGAGTCTCGGATGCCCCCGCCCCAGAGCTACCATGTGGCTATACCTGATGGTGGCACTGACACCAGGTTATGGGGACAGGGGCAAGTGTCTATGTGACAAACTGGAGTAGACACTCTCATCCCATCCCAGATGCCCTCAGTGCCTCTGAGGCCTGGGGCCCGAAGGCAGCGCCGGCTCCACTACAGTGGTCAGTGGAGTCCTGGCCAAAAGGCTTTCACCTCCTCCTCCCTTTGTAATCTGCCTGGAGTCAGCCACTGCCCCCTCCCACCCCCCACCAAGTCACATGCAGTGCAGGTGGGAGCTCTGGAGAAAAATCAAGTCCCAGGTGGGGGTGGGAGTGACATGGTGAGGAACAGCATTAGATGTTCAGGCAAAAGGAATAGGTGGACATGGGAGCCAAATACCACTGAGCAGCTCCTCTCTGTCAGAGGGGTTTTCAGAGACTGTCAGTTTTCTTCATCATTTCCATTCCCAGGGAAGCATTGGGGGGAAAGAATTCTTGCTGCAGCTGAACATGCCTTCTAGGAGCAAAGTAGCCATTTTTGCTGGCCTGGTGGGAGGCGTCACCCCCGCAACCCCATACTCAAGGCCCTTTCTACATACCACCTTCTCTTCTTGGGGCTCAGAAGAGCAATTGTCGGCCCTTACCTCCCTCCTCAGGCTCCAGGGGTCTTGGCTGCACAATGTTTCCAGACTCCAACACCCCCATCCTATAGATACTTTCTAGATATTCCCAAGCAGTCCCTGTTACCACCGACACAACAACATGCACCTAGTGGCTCAATCTTGAGCACATCCTAACAGACATGGCTCCTCACACAGACACAGGTGAAAGGCCTGTAAGCCTTACAGAGGCCTGTAAGCCTCTGTCAGACCTTATTCTAGAAATTGCAGCTCATGCTCACCACAGCCCAGGGAAATGTGTAGGTCCTGAGCTGCTCTGGACAAAACCCCACCTCTCCTTTTTTCAACGGAAGAGTTCTGGAGTGGCGTTGGCTATGTGGGGGTGCTTTACCAGCAATCAGGGGTTAACAACTCAGAAATGACGCCCTGATAGCAGAGTGCCAGTCACCTGGCTCATTGCTTCTGAGAGCATAGAAAACACAGATGCAAATATGTACCCATCAAGTGGACAGGTGAGTGTTTTGCTCCAGCAGACAAAACCCTGGAAGGTGGACACATTCAAGGCAGGGGCCTAGTTCTCCAGGGAATGTGGTAAATGCAGTAGACTGAACAGAATGACTATGACCACCAGAGGGCGGCATGGGGCCAGTCTGGCAGCAAGCTCAGACCAGCCCTGCCAACACTGGGGAAATGTCCCAAGGAACCAGTCAACAAGGGGCCCAGCTGCACACTTCTACAGCCTGGATCTAGTGGCGGTCCCAGTCTAGGCTAGGAGGTGGCCACAATGAGCCCAAAACCTACCCAGGAGGTATGCTGATGCCATGACCCTCTTCCAGCTGCACCACATTCACATCTGAGGAGGAAGGGCACCAGGAGCTGAGTGAGCTCATTCTGGGCTATAGGGAGTACAATGGATCTCCTAAAGCCATGTTAATTTGCACATGACCCTCTAAGTGGACAAGGTCTCCATCTGGGGGTGGGTGAGGAGAATGAGGGACAGAAAGAGAACTAAAACTAAGGTCCTTGAGCCAAGGAGCCTACAGATAGAGTCTCAATCTTCAGTCCATCAGTTTCATGGGTCTCTGGGGATCTGGTCCCTGAACATCAGATCAGTCAGGCCCCTAATGAGCATGTTCCGTCCAGCCCTCGTGGCTCCTTCATCTGCACCGCACCTGCTGCTCTATCTCCAACCTTTCAGGTGTTGCACACAGAGCAAAACCCTCTCCTTACTTCTTGGGAACACCCAGGCCCAGGTTTGCATGTGCAACGGAGAGATCAGAAGAGGGAGGACAGAGCTGCAGTGCCCTGCTTCCTCCTTGCCCGTCTAAGTGACCATGCACATGCAGCCTGGCCCTTCACATCTGAAAGGGAAGAAGGGAACATGTCCCATCGATGCCTAGAAGGAAGAAGAGGAGGTACAGATGCCAGGGAGGCAGACTCAGCACCTGAACCTATGTAGCAAGCTGGGGAAAAAGAGAATGCCCTTGTCACATAGCCCACCCCAGCCCTCACCCAGGTTCACAACAGGGAAGAGCCTTCTGGTGAAGATTCGTGGCCTGGCCTGCCCTGAGCTGCAGCACAGCGCCTCCATGCTGAAATCTTCTAGAAACTCCGTTGGGCAAAAGAAAGCCCAGAAGGAAGAAAAAGTGGGCAAAGCGTGATTCTAAAACTAGGGTAGTGGAACCCCACATCTGGAATGAATGCGGCTCTCAGGCTTTCCACAGGAATTTGAGAGACATAAGGCAGGTATGGGCCCAGGAGAACCTCGTGAAGCACCTGTGAGTGGCCATGTCGGGGTCTTGCTGAAAAATGAACACTGACCACAGTGCCCCTTTTCGTGCACTGGCTTCATCTTCCCACAGCTGCTGAGGGCACAGGATAACCATGGCCACCGGCAGGCATCATGAGACCAGTCTGGCAGCAAGCCCAAGCCAGCCCTGCCAACACCCCAGAAATGTCCTAAGGAAAATAAAGAAAGGTGGCAAAAGGGTGACCCCAAGACTCTGACAGGGCCAATGGAAGCACAGAGGCTCCTGAAGAGGCACAGGGGGGTGGGAGTTGTCTGGGTTTTTGGGGGTATCTTGCCAACCCTGAATGGTATTGATGTGATGGTCAGTTTGTGTATTCCCTGGCCAGGTCGCAGTTCCTGTGACACCACAGCGCTAATCTGGGCATGTGTGGAGGTGTTCTGCAGACACAATGACATCCATGACCAGCTCACTTTAAGTAAAGGAGAGGATGCTCAATGGCTTGGGTGGGCCTCTCCCAATCAGCTTAAGATCCTAATCAGGATCTTAAGAGGGAAACCCAGTCTCTCTGAGGAGAAAGCACCCCCTGTAGATTGTGGCACTGGCCCCTGCCTGCCCCACAAGCATATCTTGGATCCTTGTATCTGTATAGACACGTACATTTCCCAGAGGCCCCCTCTCTGGAACCCCTTGGCTGACCAAAACCCACAGCTGGCCTTCAGGCACAACTCTTCATAGAAACAAAAGATTTGCAATAAAGACTAGAAGAAAAACTAGTGTTCCGACGGGTGTTTGGTGGGTGGGAGGTACTGGGGGGTGGCCCTAAGACTGGAGGGAAAGGGTTATGAACAACTTGCCCATTCTTTCATTCCCCAATATTTCTGTTAACATGGTCATTTGGAATAAAGTACACTTCCGAATAAAATGAGGGCACTGAGTTTCTATAATCCCCCAACCCAGTTCCAAAACACAATCACCCATGGACTTGGGTCCATAGGGGGAGACGAGTATCCTACCCAAGAGAGGACACTGCTTGGGCTGTGGGCTGCAGCGTTGAATTAGCACAGAGATCAGGTCAGAACAGGGGTTGGGGGCCTGGGAGCATCTAGAGGCAGAGCTCAGCCTGGCATGGGGACTGGCCTGGAGTTGAGGTGGATGGGACCAAACACTGCACCCAATTACTGCTGTGCCCAATGAGTTATGACAGGACCCAGACGCACCAGTCCCACAATTCCAGATGTGAGTAACACAAAAACAACTCACCCCTTGGCTTCCTTGAAATCGAATTGATGGTCTCAGAGAAACAGAATCCTGCAAAAAAGCAAAAGAGGAAAATGCTAAATAAAGATAACTGGAAATCCAGAGCCTCATTTCCAGTTATCTAAGGAGCAGGGTAAGGAGCATGTGTTCAGGAAAGGTGAGAGAAAACACACGTGTCTGAAAACTACAGGAAAGGTCACCAAAGCAGGGTCTTGAAAGATCAACGGGAGTTCTCTGAATGCACTGGGGCTGAGGGTATGTGAGTGGCAAGACTGGACACACAGGCAGTGGGCAGCCCCTCACTGATCTCCTAAAACTGTCATCAGCCCAGGCCACCCTGCCTCACAGATACCACCTCCAAATGGAAATCAGGGTGGGTGAGCACCACTGGCCAGGAGGCAGGCTGACGGGTGACTCTGGCCCCCGCATCACTGGCAGGATGAAGCCCAACACCTGCCCAGCTCCAATGTCACAGTTTCAGAGCAATTTGTCACTGTGCCTGGGGTGGCAGAATTTCTAAATGTCATAAAAATATATATAGTAAAAAACTCAAAATAAGTACTTAAAAAGCTTCAGCTATTCAGAGATCAGCCTTCTGGTGGAATTTCGGAAAGCATGTGGATCCAGATAGAGGACTGCACCTTCTCTTCCAACCTTGGTCCTGGAGCACCCACCTTCTGTGTAGCAGATACCATCCCACAGTGTGGTCCTGGCTTGTCATCATGACCCCCTCTGCCATCCCCCAAACCCACAGGGCCCAAATCCACCTCTGTGCCAGCTTGTCCCCTGCCCACCCAACCTCCTTCACACAGCAGCAGGCGGCTGTGCTCTCCCACCTCCATCTGAGCCCACCACCCTGCCTCACTTAGAGCGGGGGAGACTCCCCACCCCTGTGCCCCCGCTATAGTACCTCCCTGAGTGCCTGCTTGTCAGCCCCCTCACCCAGAATGTGAGGCCCACAGCAGGTGAAGTAGTAGAGTGGTTCCATCCTAGTGGAGAGAATCAACCAACAGGCAGGCCCAGACTTAATAGGTGGCTGACCTCTTGGAGCCCGTGGGTCCATCAGCTGCTGGGCTGATGCTCTTGGGCATGTGAGGGAGACAGCTCAGTCAGCCTGGACATAAGGGCCACACACGTATCATTTGTTTACCAGGAACCCCCTCTTTCACCAAGTATCTCAAAGGACTCTGCTGTCTAAAGCAGACCTGAGGGGTCACTCCATGCACTAGCACTTACCCCATGGGATCTGACGCCTCACAAACCACCCCATACTTCCAAACACTGCTAGGCAGGCAGAGAGGGACATCCTCCAGTCCCTTGTCCTGCTCTAGGACTGAGAACCAGCCTCTGCAGACACAGAAGTCTTGGTGCTGGTAAGACAGGGGCCAGGCTCCTTACAAAGCAGACTCAGGACCAGCTGACCCGACCCATGACCATGACCTTGACCTGACCCCTGCCTGGGCTCCTGGTCAGAAAATGAGAAGCACAGCACCAGTGCGGGTCTCATCCTGGCAGGGTCCTTGGAGATGCACTATGTAAGCAGCCTCTGCTAGGAATTAGGTTAAAGAGATGAAAAGAAGACATGAAAACCTGGCCACTAAGCAGGTGAGAAGCCCTCAGTGTCATTACCCGTCGATAAAATATGAACTGTGTACCTAGAATGGGAAGGATAAACAACATCCCAGAACCCTTGTCCGTGGTTGGTGGGAACACACACCACGTGGCTGCTGTGGAAAACAGTCTGGCAGTTTCTTAAAAGGTTAAACACAGAACTACCACATGACCCAGCAAGTCCACTCCGAGGAATTAGCCAAGAGAAATGACAAATGCACTAGAACTTACATGTAAACAAGCACAGCAGAACTGCTCTTAGTATTTGAGAAGTGGCAACAACCCAAATGTCCATCAGTTGGTAGGCAGAGAAATAAGAGAAAACCATCCAGAAATAAAAAGGAACAAACTCCTGGTGGACACAACATGGACAAACCTTAAAGCCGCTGGCTAAGTGAGAGGCATCAACATATGACCTCACGCATTGTTTGAGTCCATTTACATATGTTTCCAGGGAAGACGAAACTAAAGAGACAGAAAGCAGGTCAGTGTGTGCCAGATCAGCAGATCAGGCCCACAGAAGACCTTCACTGAAGACTCTGGGGGCTTTGAGCAATATTGCAGGAACACAGAGGAAATTCCTCAACAGCCGGGGGAGATTCCTGTCTGCCAGCCACATTTAAGGCAAGAGTGATATAATATGGGCAGAAGGGAAACCGAAGATATCAGAACACAGCAGCACAGGCAATGCTAAGGCAAAGCTGCCCTGCCTGTCATTATTATAAGCTCTCTGCTGACACCTGATCATCAAAGCCAGGAAGGAAGGGTGTTTCTGGCAGAGGGAGGGAACAGCAGGGGCAAAGCAGGAGCAGAGATTAGGGACACTGCAGTGGTAGAGGGCAGTGGGGCTTGGCTCTTTCACTTCCAGGTTGCTCAGCCCAGATCTCCATGTAGGGGTCAGTCAGGGTCAACTCCAGTACTGTGTGTGCCATCCACACACAGCAAAACCTTTGTGCTCCAGAGCTTGGGGCATGGGGGCTATGATGATAGCGATGACAAGAGGCTGGATTTAGAGTAAGGAGGGAGAGGAACTAGGAAGGGCGCCCTCCTGAGAGGGACTCCACCAGAGCAGCCCGAGCACCCACGTGTGCTGGTCTGCCCTCCCTCAACCACATGCTCCCTGTGGGCCATCCAGTGAAGCACTTAGCTGGCTTGGTAGCTGTCAAGCAAGTTAATCTGGAAGACTCTTTGGTTTCAACGTCATTCATTCCCTAAAGGCCTCAAGGAGACATTTCACGTTGGAGAGGTCAACTGAGAGGCCTAGAAGCCCACTCTTTCTCTATGATGCTGGGAGGGCTCCATGATGAAGTGCATGACCCCACACAACCCAGCTGTTATTGTTGAGCCAGGCTCTTGGCCACGTGGGCTTGCCTGGTATCTTATTCCTTCAGACGGACCAAGCCCTTGTTAACAACAGAGCATTTCGTACCTTCTCTCTCTCCCCCCACACACACACGTGACTTCCCACAGGCTGTCTATAGCCATTAACAGTAACAGGCACAACTTTAAAGGGCTGGGATAGAACACTGACAACCTAGAATTCTATATCTAGTGCAAAGAAAAAGTGGAATAGAGACTTGTCCAGACAAAGGCTGAGTGAGTCTGTTTGCAAAAGAGCTGCTCCCCTGCAAGGAAGGTTCTGGAAGTTCTTCAGGAGGAGGGAGAGTGACACCAAATGGACACATGGGTCTTACAGATGATGAAGAGTGCTGGGCATGGTGAACCCGTCTATGAATATGAAAGAATGAATTACATTTCTGTAAAAGATCACTGACAGTCTGGGGCACAGATAGTAACAAAATGCAGGATTCGGACACACAGCACTAAATTTGAAATGTGTGCAAACGGAAGGCAGTGATAGTGTCAGGTGTGCAGGGGCCACCTCAAGCTCACGGGTCTCCCAGAAGGTGAGCGTGGTACCAACAGTGTCTTCTGAGTGAGCAGCCAGAGCCCAAATCGAAGGTTCCTTTGAGGCAGGACCAGCATCACCCCAACACCCCAGCAGTCGGACCATCCTGGCAGTTCAGGGGCTCCTTGTGGGAACATAACCATCATGACCTGGCTGGCTGCTCCCTGCAGGGGCCGACAGCTCACAAGGTTAGGGGCCCTGCTAAATCACCTACAGAGCAGGACAGAAGGCAGTGTCCCAGGACCAGTAGGGTATGACAGACTGACCTGGGCACTGCCTGTTTCCCATTTCCTTGTTGCCTCAGCAGCTTCTGGGTTGGCCTCAGACCAAAATTAGCAAGTCACCAGGTAATGTAACTTCCCTGGATATCCCCGGGCACAGCACTGCCACCTCTGCACCTGTCACACTTGGGACCTGAGTGGGCTGCACTTCAGGCAACACCATATCAATGCCTCAAGTCTCCCCAGATCCTTGCAGGAGTGTCAAACTCATCTTCACCGGGGGCCACATCAGCCTGGTGGTTGCCTTCAAAGGGCCGAATGTAATTTTAGGACTGTGTACATGTAAGTACTCCTTAACTAGGGGCAAGGAGCTCTGCATTGCCGCCGGGTAGAAACAAGGTGCCGGGCTAGATAAAACAAGGTAGAGGGCCTGATTCGGCCCACAGGCCTTGTGTTTGCCACCTGTGCTTAGGGGTTATGTTGTTCCTACCACAGGTGCAGAGGTCACGCACTCCCAGGATCTGAGCTGATCAGTGCAGTGCCTCCCAAGTAGCAGGCATGGAGGGGCCCTCAGGAAGCCCAGCCTCCACAGTGGCCATGTTAGACCCGTGCACAGCCACGCACCACCATCTGCTAGCGTCAAACGGGGGTGAAGCTGCGAGCTGCTCAGGACAAGCATCGCTGCTGGCACTGCACTTCAGCCAAGCTAGGACAGCCTGGTGGAGCAGGCAGTGGGGGAGGCTTCAATGCACTGGGGCAGGAGTATCTGCACCCCGAAATCATTTGGCCACCTGGCAGCTCCCTCTCTAGGGAAGCATCACCTGGATGAAGAAGCAGTGTAGAGACCTGGCTGGTGTGGCTCTGTGGATTCAACACCGACCTGTCAAGCAAAATGTCACCAGTTCAGTTCAGGGGACATGTCTGGGTTGCAGCCCAACCATGTGAGAGGCAACAGATTGATGTTTCTCTCACACATCGCTATTTCTCTACCTCTCCTTCTCTCTCCCTTCCCCTCTCTTTGAAAATAAATAAATCAAATCCGGGGGGAAAAAAAAGAAGCAGTGTAGAAAAGATGGAGATGCATGTGGAAGAAAATGGGGAGCGCGCTGGGAGATGACAGTCAGAGTAATGTGTGGCCTATGGGAAGAGGCACAAATGCTTGAGGAGGAACTCGAGATGGCCAGAAACCCCTTTTCTCTGCCCATGGAGAAGAGGCTTGGAGGGTGAGGCAACAGGAAGTGGCTTATGAAATCCACCTCCAGGCCCTGACTCAGGTGGTGGGGCATCATCCCACAAAACAAAAGGTCTCT